TGAGTCCGCATATCTGATTTCAGTCCTGCAGACTGCGCACCCCTTCTCTTTCTTTGTGGTGTTGGCAATCAAGCCTAGGCTCTGTGCATACTAGGCAAGCACTATACAACAGAATCACACCCCAACCCTTTGCTATGTGAGCTGCCGTGTGGCTGTTGGGAATCGAACTGGGTCCTCTGGAAGAGCAGCCAGTGCTCTTATAACCAGTGAGCTGTGAGGCTCCCTTAACAAACCTTTAAAAAACAAATTCTTAACTAATCCCATGAGAGACTGCAACCAGACTCCAGGCGAGGGGCTCCCTTTCCTCTCTCCGCGTCTCCTTAACATCCCCTGACTTTTATCCCATCTTACTACCAAGATGTTAATCCAGGAGAGTAAAAGGAGAGAGCTTGCATTTACTCAGTGACAAGCCAGGAGAAACACACTGAAGACAGAATCTTTGTAGTTCACAAACTCTCTTCAAGGGGCAGTCCTCACTGTCAGCCTGACTGGGTTAGAATCACCTAGCAGAACAGTGATGGACAGCTCTGGGTAGATCTGTACCAGTGTTCCCAGAGAGCATAAAGTGAGCAGACAAGACTCACCTAGAGTGTGGGGTGACACTGTCCCACGGGTGTGAGCCTTCTCCTCTGGAGAAGGCTGAAAAGCTCTGACTGTCTCCCCTCTGATTACTTATCCTCCACGAGGTGAACTACTGGACCAGATCTGCCACACCCGCACTGCAATGACGAGTCTAAATAAAGTCCTCCCCCGTGAAGTTGGTGGTGGCAGCCATTCGGTCATGACAGGGGTAACTAAGACTCACAGTGGGCCCGACAACTTCCTCTGGAGCCATAAACTACTCCTCACCGCTAATTGGCCGCCTGTACTGGCTGGTTTTATGTGTCGACTTGACACAAGCTAGAGTCGTCAGACAAAGGAGCCTCAGTGGAGGAAATGCTTTCATGAGATCCAGCTGTAAGACATTTTCTCATTTAATGATCAGTGGGGAAAGGCCCAGCCCATGGTGGGTGGTGCCATCCCTGGGCTGGTGGTCCTGAGTTCTATAAGAAGATGGGCTGAGCAAGCCATGGGAAGCAAGTCAGTAATCAGCTCCCCGCCATGGCCTCCACATCAGCTCCTGCCTCCAGGGCCCTGCCCTGTTTGAGCTCCAGTCCTGACTTCCTTCAGTGATGAGCAGCAATGCTGAAGTATCAGTGCTGCGGGCCACAGAAATACGTAGTAGGAGTTCATCTGACCTTGACAAAGCTATACCTGGAAGAAGCCAAGGCCTTTCCAGAGGACACAGCCAAGACTTAAGGAGTCTTGGTGATATTGGCTTTTGAATATTAGCTGTTTCCTGCTATGAATTTCATGTGGGCTATTATAGCTTTTCCATTTGACTCTAAGAACTTCTAATAGTGTGATTGATCATTCATTGGGCACAGTTTTTCCCAATACAATTAAGGTATTGGATAACTTCCCCCAACTGTGTTGACAACAGCCACACAACAAGACTTCTTTTTTCCAGGCTTTTGTTTCCCCTTTTTAGCAATAGAATCAGATATCTACCTTCTGCAATTGTCTCCTTCAGCAAGTATCCAGGGCGAGGGCCATCTCTGGACAAAAGCAGTTTTTCTGAGATACTTCTCAAACATCCAAGGACAAACTGCAGATAGATAAGCATCCAGACCCCCTGCTAGTCTCCTGAAAATAAGGTAAAGATCCATACAGGGACAACTGCCAAGGCCAGGTGGATGTTAGGTACAAAGCCTTGTTTCTTGTGCAAATTAAGCTTAAACTCTCTTTTCTCCCATAGCCCAAGTGGTATCTCCAGACCTCCCCTCTAACAATTAACTCAGAGCAAAAAGGCTTTTACATACCAGGTACATCAATCTGTGACACAGGCTGCCTAGCTACCCCTGCCCTGACAGAAAATGGCACAGCCAAGATTAGGCTGAGACAAGTATGGCTCCAAAGGAAAAAAATGCAGTTTTATTTTCACTCATGACTTAGTGTCTTAGACTCTTAACATTTTAACTAACCACTTTTTTTTTAAAAGATTTATTTATTTATTATATACACAGAAGAGGGCGCCAGATCAAGCCACCATGTGGGTGCTGGGAATTGAACTCAGGACCTCTGGAAGAGCAGTTGGTGCTCTTAACCTCTGAGCCATCTCTCCAGCCCCTTAACTAACACAATTTGAGCATACAAACCTCTTTTCTCAGATCTCTTTACCCAGTTTAGCCATCAGTTGATTCTATTCCCCATTAGTCATTTCCCTTTTGTGTTGCTAACGATAGCTGACAATTACTGTTTACCCCTCCTTTTGACCCTGTAAGAATTCAAGCCGTGTGACCTTGCTTTGGCCAGAGCATTGCTGATTGCATGAGTATATAACTGTAAACCTCAGAGACTTGAGAGAACTAGATTGGGGAACTACAATGGAAAGAACTAGATGGGGAAGAACTAGATGGAAAAGAACTAAGAGCAGAAAAATGTAGAGAGAATCAGGCAAGAAAGGAGCTAAGCGTGAGAGCAGAAAAGAAGCTGTAGATAGAGAGAACTAACTCAGAAGAACAAAGTGAATGGACTAAAGAGTTTCATATACGTAGATTTATTTGATAATCCCTCAGATTAATTAATCTGCCACTGGTAGCATCTCTTCTGGAACTCTGGGAAAAGGCTGTAGAGGGGCTGGACCCCAATAGTCTTTGTTATGTAAGCCAAATAAACCCTTCCCTTCCCAACTTGCCTTTTGGTCATGATGTTTCATTGAAGCAATAGAAACGCTAAGACACTGCCTAAAAAAAATTTGATTGTAATAGCACCAAGGCTCTTACACAATTAGGAGCCTGTCCTGTTCTGACCTCTGTAGCTGGTCCTCTAACAGCCATTCCCTGACTGGCTCTGTAGGTGGTCTAGGCCACCAATACCCCAAGTTCTGAGTGACTTGGCTGCTTCAGGTGATGACTGTCCTAATGGAGAATGTGGGAGGAGAAAGACAGCAATAATGAGTGGCCTGGGGACTTAGCTCAGTGACAGAGTACTTAACTGGCATGCAGGAGGCTCTAGGTTCAACCGCCAGCCTCTGATGAGACATGCAAGTAAGCAAGCAATCATGGTAGCTAGATAAAACTATAAATCGGTGTTTTCCAAATGACTTCAAGTTAATCATATACAGTTTCACCTTCTCATTTCTCTAGGAGATGTCCCTCCGCCAGCCACATGTCACCAGCATGCTCCTACTAATCTTGTACGTACTGTGATCCAAAGATACATGTGAAGTGTTCATCTCTCCTGTCAGTGGGTCCTGCCAGGATTTTACTGTCTCTCAGAGTGCGTGGGCACAGCTTTCTAGAAAGGGAAGAATTGGGCTAGCAGGTGATCTGAAGATGGTCCTAGCCACTGGTCTTTGTGCCTTTGTGCAGATGTGATGACCTGCTCCTTGCTGTTCTAGCCACTGGTCTTGGTGCTTCTGTGCAGATGTGATGACCCGCTCCTTGCTGTTCTAGCCACTGGTCTTGGTGCTTCTGTGCAGATGTGATGACCCGCTCCTTGCTGTTCTAGCCACTGGTCTTTGTGCTTCTGTGCAGATGTGATGACCGGTTCCGTTCTGCTGTTTGTTTGCCCTCTGCTTCATTCAGAGAGCTTGCAGCATCTTTTAGAAACATGTGTGCTGTGGGATTGTCTGTATGTCAAATGTGTTGCTGATTGGTCAATAAATAAATCACTGATTGGGCATTGGCTAGGCAGGAAGTATAGGCGGGACAAGGAGGAGAATAAAGCTGGGAAGTGGAAGGCTGAGTCAGGGAGACACTGCCAGCCGCCACCATGACAAGCCGCATGTGAAGATCCTGGTAAGCCACGAGCCATGTGGCAAGGTATAGATTAATGGAAATGGATTAATTTAAGTTGTAAGAACAGTTAGCAAGGAGCCTGCCACGGCCATACAGTTTGTAACCAATATAAGTCTCTGTGTTTACTTGGTCAGGTCTGAGTGGCTGTGGGACTGGCAGGTGAGAGAGATTTGTCCTGACTGTGGGCCAGGCAGGAAAACTCTAGCTACACATGTGCATACAATAAAATCTGGAAGTCAAAGAGGGAGAGGAGTCAGAGGGAAGGGAAGGCAGCAACGGTCAATGCAGCGCCCGAGTTCAGGCTCTTCTCTTCCTAGTGGTCTGCATGGTGACCTCTGGGGCCTATCTAAATTGCTTTGTTTCTTTGGTCCTGTGTTAACTGAAGAAGTGTTTTGAGGAATATAAAAAGATGAAGGTGAAATAAAATTCCCTTCTTGGCATTTCCCAAGCTGTCATCCCTTGAAAGGCTGCCTTGAGGGAGACAACGAAGTCTGTACCACTCCATTAGGCCTCCTCATCTCTCCAGGTCCTTCGCCCCTTCCTTCCCTGTCCGACCTCACACAGGAGTCAGAGGGATCCTGATTGCTGACACTGGACACGCCCCTCATCCCCGCTGCTCAATCCACCCCATCCCCTACCACTTTTCTTTTTTGGCCTCCTGCTTCCTCCTCAAATACACCCAGCAGGCTTTGCCCCCCTCAGATGTCCTCAGACATGTTGGCAGAACCCACTTCTTTCTTCCCTGTCCTCACTCTCACCTCTGACTTCCAGTCTGAAGCGCAGTCTTTCTCCTCCATCTGCTCCCCTAGATGTTTCCTTCACAGCATGTTTTCAGTACCTGATACAATTTGTCCATCAGTCTCCACTCCCATTGAGGCCCTAAGAGGCCAGACACCAATGTTCATTTTGTTCCATGCCCCTAGTCCTCTAGAACATGGCCTAGAACATGGTAAATGTTTAATAAGTTATTGAATGGTGGGCAGGGAATCCATTGTCCTAAATGTACAGTGTGGACCGTGTCCTCTCAGAGGTGTGACAGCAGTATCCCATAGGACATGAGAGGCCCAGAGTGAAGACAGAACACTGCCCCAATGATGCTGCACTTGGTAAAACAAGATTCAGCCTCTTCCTTTATGTGTTTTTATCTTTCAGTCTAAGACACTGTGCTTTCCCATCCTCCCATTTTCCTTATTACCTTCAAAAGTCATACCACAGATGATAATTACATCTCCGAACAGAAGCTCACAGGTGACAACAGCCACACCTGCACCCAGCAGCCCACCACAGGTGACATCAGCCACACCCACATCCAGCAGCCCATTACAGGTGACAACAGCCACACCTGCACCCAGCAGCCCACCACAGGTGGCATCAGCCACACCCACATCCAGCAGCCCACCACAGGTGACATCAATCACATTGGCATCCAATAGCTCACCACAGGTGGCATCAGCCACACCCACATCCAATAGCTCACCACAGGTGACATCAGCCACACCTGCACCCAGAAGCCCACCACAGGTGACATCAGCCACACCTGTACCCAGCAGCTCACTACAGGTGACATCAGCCACACCCATATTCAATAGCTCACCACAGGTGACATCAGCCACACCCACATCCAGCAGCCCACCACAGGTGACATCAGTCACATCGGCATCCAATAGCTCACCACAGGTGACATCAGCCACACCCATATTCAATAGCTCACCACAGGTGACATCAGCCACACCTGCACCCAGCAGCCCACTGCAGGTGGCATCAGCCACACCCACATCCAATAGCTCACCACAGGTGACATCAGCCACACCCACATCCAATAGCTCACCACAGGTGACATCAGCCACACCAGCATCCAATAGCTCACCACAGGTGATATCAGCCACACCCACATCCAATAGCTCACCACAGGTGACATCAGCCACACCTGCACCCAGCAGCCCACCACAGGTGACATCAGCCACACCCACATCCAATAGCTCACCACAGGTGACATCAGCCACACTCACATCCAATAGCTCACCACAGGTGACATCAGCCACACCAGCATCCAATAGCTCACCACAGGTGATATCAGCCTCACGCACATCCAATAGCTCACTACAGGTGACATCAGCCACACCAGCATCCAATAGCTCACCACAGGTGACATCAGTCACACCTGCACCCAGCAGCCCACCACAGGTGACATCAGCCACACCCACATCCAATAGCTCACCACAGGTGACATCAGCCACACCTGCACCCAGCAGCCCACCACAGGTGACATCAGTCACACCTGCACCCAGCAGCTCACCACAGGTGACATCAGCCACACCGGCATCCAATAGCTCACTACAGGTGACATCAGCCACACCCACATCCAATAGCTCACTACAGGTGACATCAGCCACACCTGCACCAAACAGCCCACCACAGGTGACATCAGTCACACCTGCACCCAGCAGCCCACCATGGCCTGTTGCAACAGAGGTCACCAGGCCTGAGTCCACAAGACCTGCTGTAAGATCTTTGGCAGACATCACCTCAAGTGCAAAGGAAGACGCTCACCCAGCGGTCATCTCCACCCGTCCACAAAGGTCATTTCTGAGTCCAGCCTATCAGGTAAGCCTGGAAAACAGAAGATGACTGGGTAACTTCACGACACTGAAAGGCCTGGGGATGTATCTCAGTGGTAAAACACTGGCCCAGCATATGCATGGCCCGGGTTCAGTCACCAGTATTGGAAAAATAGTCATGAGGAGAGCATGTATGTCCATCTCTCATGGCATCTCCAGAGTCACTTTTCAAAGCACTATTGATGGTCACCCTGTCACCTCCCAGGAGAACTGTCACTGGAAGCAAAAACGAAACAAATCTAACCTGAGGGTTATGTGCGCATTGCTACACTTGATGGCTCATTCTTAGTTAGGACTCACATATTCACCCCCGGGGGGCCAAGAACCTCTGCTAGCCTCTCCACTGTATCAAAGGAGAAAAGCAGGAGCCACTGAGACAGGGTGACTGACAGGATCCCATTCTCCACTCCGACTTTTAAAACTTCAAACCCGGTTTATATGCAGCCTGACACTTTACCATTCAAACATCCCATTTGCTCTGATCAGCTTCACATGGTGATGGAAGCTAGATGTTCACCCTTGTCCCAACATGGTCTTCCACTAAGGAAGGACTAGCCTGCAATAGCTTCAACCAAGAATGGGGCTCCTTTCCTTAAACAAAGAGAAGCCAGAAATGTAGAACGAATATCCAGAAGTGTTTACAGATAAATTACTAGAACCCGTTAAGAGAATTTAGCAATGCTGCCCAATTCCAGGTATGTGTTAAGTGTGCAACAATGGGAAAATTAAACAGCCAAGTGAGGTAGCCGATGCCTATAATTCCAGTACTCAGCAGCCTGAGGCTGGAGGATTGCAGGTTTAAGGCCTGGGCTACATGAATGTTAAGATGTGCCATGATGTGGCCCATCTGGGTTCTAAAATACCAAATGAGGTATGTGTCCCTGCAGCTGCCTCTAGCTAGGATAGCATCTGGAAAGCCCATCCTCTGTTGGGACATGGGGTGGCAGCTACAGCTCGCCCATATCCTCATCCTTTCTGGTTTGCACCTCAGTTGTCAAAGCCACAATGCAGTGATTCTCAGTCCAGTTCCTTCTATCAGTGACCTCTCCCACAAAGTCAGGTATAACCCATTGGACCATGTGGCCCACGAGGGTGGTGTGCTGGCTAGTCTTATGTTAACTTGACACAAGCTGGAATTAGCTGAAAGGAGAGAATCTCAATTGAAAAAATGCCTCCAGAAGATCCAGCTGTAAGACATTTTCTGAATTAGTGATTGATAGGGGAGGGCCCAGCCTATTGTGTGTGGATGGGGCCATCCATGGGCTGGTGGTCCTGGGTTCTGTAGGAAAACAGGCTGAGCACGCCATGAGAGCAAGCCAGTTAAGCAGCACCCCTCCTTGACTTCTGCATCAGCTCCTGCTTCCAGGTTCCTGCCCTGTTTGAGTTCCTGTCCCGGGCTTCCTTCAGTGATGGACTACGATGTGGAAGTGTAAGCTGGCTTTTAGTCATGGTGTTTCCTCACAGCCACAGAATCCCTCACTAAGACGGACAGGATCATGACCCACCGGCTACTCTCTTCCCACCTAACGCAGCATCTACAGAGTGCAGTAGGGCCTTGGTAAACATCTCTTGAAGATGTGTGTGATAAGCGGGCTGTTCTCCAGCTCAAACAAGCAGTTGGGTTTACATGGGAATCAGTGAAGGTTGGACTTCAAGCATAGAAGCTTTGTAAGCTAGGGCCTTGCTCTGTTTGCTCAGTTTGTCTGGGGAAGTGTTTGGCACCTCACCTCCTGCTACAACAGTACTTTGAGGGTTTCCCTTTTCTTTTTTTTATTATATTTATTTTTATTTATTTATTTTTCTATTATCAGCTTGATACAGTATAAATTCTTATCCTAATAGTGAAATGTTTCATTGAGGCTTGCCCAGTAATTGAGTAAAACTAAAACTTATTATAAGCCACAGTCATCCTAGGGTTGCCCCTGCTATATACCCTCCCTTGTTCTGTGGGTTGCAGTCTGATTGTTCTTTGCTTTATATCTAGTATCTACTTATGAGTGAGTACATAACCATGTTTGTCCTTCTGGGTTTGGGTTACCTCACTCAGGATGATATTTTCTAGTTCCATCCATTTGCCTGCAAATTTCATGCTATCATTGTTTTTCTCTGCTGAATAGTACTCCATTATGTATATGTACCATACCACATTTTCTTAATCCATTCTTCAGTTGATGGGCATATAGCTTGTTTCCAGGTTCTGGCTATTACAAATAGTGCTGCTATGAACATAGTTGAGCATGTATCTTTGTGGTATGATTGAGCATTCCTTGGGTATATACCCAAGAGTGATATGGCTGGGTCTTGAGGTAGATCGATTCCCAATTTCCTGAGAAACGGCCATACTGATTTCCACAGTGGTTGTACAAGTTTGCATTCCCACCAACAGTGGAGGAGTGTTCCCTTTGCTCTGCATCCTCTCCAACATTGACTGTCATTAGTGTTTTTGATCATAGCCATTCTGATAGGTGTAAAGTGGTATCTCAGAGTCATTTTGATTTGCATTTCTCTGATGATTAAGGATGTTGAGCATTTCTTTAAATGTCTTTCAGCCATTTGAGATTCTTCTTTTGAGAATTCTGTTTAGCTCTTTAGCCCATTTTTTAATTGGATTGTTCAGTATTTTGATGTCTAGTTTCTTGAGTTCTTTATTTGATTTGGAGATCAGTCCTCTGTCAGATATGGGGTTGGTGAAGGTCTTTTCCCATTCTGTAGGCTGTCTTTTTGTCTTATTGACCGTGTCTTTTACCCTACAAAAGCTTCTCAGTTTCAAGAGGTCCCATTTATTAATTGTTGTGCTCAGTGTCTGTGCTGCTGGTGTTATATTTAGGAAGTGATCTCCTGTGCCAATGCGTTCAACAGTACTTCCTACTTTCTCTTCTATTAAGTTTAGTGTAACTGGATTTATCTTGAGGTCTTTGATCCACTTGGACTTAAGTTTTGTGCATGGTGACAGATATGGATCTATTTGTAACTTTTACATATTGACATCCAGTTATGCCAGCACCATTTGTTGAAGATACGTTCTTTTTTCCATTGTATAGTTTTGACTTCTTTGTCAAAAATCAGGTGTTCATATGTGCATGGATTAATGTCAGGGTCTTCAATTCGATTCCATTGGTCTTTATGTCGGGTTTTTTTTGTTTTTTGTTTTGTTTTGTTTTGTTTTTCGAAACAGGGTTTCTCTCTGTGTAACTTTGTGCCTTTCCTGGTACTCACTCTGTAGTCCAGGCTGGCCTCAAACTCACAGAGATCCACCTGCCTCTGCCTCCCAAGTGCTGGAATTAAAATTGTGCACCAACACCACCTGGCATATGTCAGTTTTTATGCCAGTACCAAGCTTTTTTTATTACTATAGCTCTATAGTAGAGCTTGAGGTCAGGGATGGTAATTCCTCCAGAGGTTGCTTTATTACACAGGATTCTTTTAGCTATCCTGGGTCTTTTGTTTTTCCATATGACGTTGAGTATTTTTCTTTCCAAGTCTGTGAAGAATTGTGATGGGATTTTGATGGGGATTGCATTGAATCTGTAGATTGCTTTTGATAAGATTGTCATTTTTACTATGTTAATCCTACCTGACCATGAGCATGGGAGATCCTTCCATTTTCTGATGTATTCAATTTCTTTCTTTAGAGATTTAAAGTTCTTATCAAACAGGTCCTTCACTTGTTTAGTTAGTATTATCCCAAGTTATTTTATATTATTTGTGGCTATTGTAAAGGGTGATGTTTCTCTGACTTCTTTCTCAGGCCTTTTATCATTTGTGTATAGGAGGGCTACTGATTTTTTTGAGTTAATCTTGTATCCTGCCACTTTACTGGAGGAGTTTATCAGCTGTAGGAGTTCCCTAGTAGAATTTTTTGGGTCACATGTATACTATCATATCATCTGCAAATAGTGAAAGTTTGACTTCTTCCTTTCTAATTTGTATCCTTTTGATCTCCTTTTGTTGTCTTATTGTTCTAGTTAGAACTTCAAGTACTATATTGAATAAATATGGAGAAAGTGGACAGCCTTGTTCCTGATTTTAGTGGAATCGCTTTGAGTTTCTCTCCATTTAATTTGTTGGTGGCTGTTGGCTTGCTGTAAATTGCCTTTATTATGTTTAGGAATATTCCTTGTATTCCTGATCTCTCTAAGACCTTTATCATGAAGAGGTGTTGGATTTTGTCAAAGGCTTTTTCAGCATCTAATGAGATGGTCATGTGGTTTTTTTCCCTTCAGTTTGTTTATATGGTGTATTACATTGACAGATTTTCATATGTTGAACCATCCTTGCATCCCTGGGATGAAATATCCTTGGTCATGGTGGATACTTTTTTTGATGTGTTCTTGGATTTGGTTTGCCAATATTTTGTTGAGTATTTTTGCATCAATGTTCATGAGGGAGATTGGTCTGTAATTCTCTTTCTTTGTTGCATCTTTGTGTGGCTTGGGTATCAGGGTAATTGTAGCCTCATAAAAAGAGTTTGGTAATGTTCCTTCTGTTTCTATTGTGTGGAACAATTTGAAGAGTATTGGAATTAGTTCTTCTTTGAAAATCTGGTAGAATTCTGTACTGAAACCATCTGGTCCTGGACTTTTTTTGGTTGGGAGACTTTTAATGACTGTTTCTATTTCTTTAGGGGTTATTGGTCTATGTAAATAGTTTATCTGGTCTTGATTTAACTTTGGTATGTGGTATCTATCCAGAAAATTGTTCATTTCTTCCAGATTTTCCAATTTTGTGGAGTACATGTTTTTGAAGTATGACCTGATGATTCTCTGGATTTCCTCGTTGTCTGTTGTTATGTCTCCCTTTTCATTTCTGATTTTGTTAATTTGGATGCTCTCTCTTTGCCTTTTGGTTAATTTGGCTAGGGATTTGTCTATCTTGTTGATTTTTTCAAAGAACCAACTCTTTGTTTCATTGATTTTTTTTTTTGTATTGTTCTCTTGGTTTCTATTTCATTGATTTCAGCCCTCAATTTGATTGTTTCCTGGCGTCTATTTCTCCTGGGTGAGTTTGATTCTTTTTGTTCTAAGATTTCAGTTGTGCTGTTAATTCATTGGTATGAGATTTCTCCATCTTCTTTATGTGTGCATTTAGAGCTATGAATTTTTCTCTTAGCACTGCTTTGATAGTGTTCCATAGGTCTGGGTATGTTGTACTTTCATTTTCATTGAATTCTAGGAAATCTTTAATTTCTTTCTTTATTTCTTCCTTGACCCATTGGTGTTTCAGGTGGGCATTATTCAGTTTCTATGAGATTGTAGGTTTTCTATAATTTTTGTTGTTGTTGAAATCTAACTTTTAAGGCATGGTGGTCCGATAAGATACAGGAGGTTATTCCAATGTTTTTGTATCTGTTGAGATTTGCTTTGTGACCAAGCATGTGGTCGATTTTTGAGAAGGTTCCATGGGGTGCTGAGAAGAAGGTATATTCTTTTGTGTTAGGAAGGAATGTTCTGTAGATATCTATTAAGTCCATTTGAGTCATAACATCTGTTAGTTCTCTTATTTCTCTGTTAAGTTTCAGTCTGGTAGATCTGTCCTTTGGTGAGAGTGGTGTGTTAAAATCTCCCTCTTCTAGTGTGTGGGGTTTGATGTGCGATTTAAGCTTTAGTAATGTTTCTTTTATAAATGTAGGTGCTTTTGTATTTGGGTCATAAATGTTCAGAATTGAGACTTCATCTTGGTGGATTTTTCCTGTGATAAATATGTAATGTCCATCCTGATCTCTTTTGATTGATTTTAGTTTGAAGTCTATTTTATTAGATATTAGGATAGCTATACCGGTAAGCTTGCTTCTTAGGTCCATTTTCTTGGAAAGCCTTTTCCCAGCCCTTTACTCTGAGGTAGTGTCTGTCTTTGAAGTTAAGGTGTGTTTCTTGTATGCAGCAGAAGGATGGATCCTGTTTTCTTATCCATTCTGTTAGTCTGTGTCTTTTTATAGGTGAGTTGAGACCATTGATATTGATGGATATTAATGACCAGTGATTATTAATTCCTGTTATTTTTTTTGTGGTCGTGTTTCATTTTCCTTCTTTGGTATTTGTTGGTGTGGTATTATCTATTGCCTGAGTTTTCTTGGGTGTGTTTAGCTTCTTTAGGTTGGATTTATCCTTCTAGTGCTTTCTGTAGGGCTGGATTTGTGGATAGGTATTATTTAAATCTGGTTTTATCATGGAATACTTTGTTTACTCTGTCTATAGTGATTGAGAGTTTTGCTGGGTATAATAGTCTTGGTTGGCATCCATGGTCTCTTAGTATCTGCATAACATTTGTCCAGGACCTTCTAGCTTTCATAGTCTCTAGTGAGAAGTCTGGTGTTATTCTGATGGATCTGCCTTTATATGTTACTTGGTCTTTTTCCTTTGCGACTCTTAATATTTTTTTTTGTTCTGTATGTTTGGTGCTTTGATGGTGAGGGGACTTTTAGTGTTTGATAGTGTATGTGGTGAGGGACATTTTTTTGGATCCAGCCTATTCGGTGTTCTGTAATGCAGTGTTCTTCTTGTATCTTCATAGGTATTTCTTTCTTTAGGTTAGGAAAGTTTTCTTCTATGATTTTGTTGAATATATTTTCTGTGCCTTTGAGTTGGTATTCTTCTTCTATCCCTACTATTCTTAGGTTTGGTCTTTTCATGGTGTTCCAAATTTCTTGGACGTTTTGTGTTACGACTTTTTTGTCTTTAGTGTTTTCTTTGACTGACAAATCTATTTTCTCTATTGTGTCTTCAACATCAGAGATTCTCTGTTCCATCTCTTGCATTCAGTTGGTTATGCTTGCTTCTGTAGTTCCTGTTCATTTAGTCAGGATTTCTATTTCCAGCATTCCCTCAGTTTGTGTCTTCTTTATTGTCTCAATTTCAATTTTCAAATCTTGAATTGTTTCCTTCATCTGTTTAATTACCTTTTCTTGGCTTTCTTTGATTTCTTCCAATTTTTTGTTTTTTCTTCCATTTCTTTAAGGGAATTTTTTATTTCCTCTTTAAGGGAGTTTTTCATTTCCTCTTTAAGAGCCTCTATCATCTTCTTAAAGTAATTTTTAGGATTGATTTCTTCTGCTTCTTTTGCCTTAGTATGTTCAGGTTTTGCAGGTGTAGAATCGCTAGGTTCTGATGTTGTCATATAGGTCTTTATGTTGTTGCCTGTATTTTTGCACTGGCGTCTACTCATCTCTTCCTCTGCTCGGTGCAGGCAGTGTCTGTGTCTAAAGGTGCCTCTCTTGTTCTAATTGATAGTCTTGGTTCACTAGGAGTTCTTGGTTAAATCGGTGCTGTTGGGCTCTGTTTCTTCGGGAGCAGCTTAGTCCAATCAGTGTTAGTGTGTGCTGTCTCAGGGAGCAGTTGTTCCCAGTTGGTGCAGGGTGGGCTTATGGTTTCGTGGTTGTTAGGTTCATAGGGGTTGGTTGGGGTTTGTGTGTGTGTGTGTGTGTGTGTGTGTGTGTGTGTTTTGTTTTTTGTTGTTGTTGTTTTTTGGTGAGGGAGCAGGGAAAGGTAGCTGTCTGGTCCCTGGGACTCCGATGGGTAGGACCTAGGGGCTAGAGACCTGATCTGCCGGTCTGGAGATGGGAGCTTACCTGTTCCCAGTCGGTGTAGTGTAGGCTTATGATTCTGGTGACCTGGTTCGGTGGTTGGGCGGTGCCTTCTTTTATGTTCTCATGTCACGTTTTGCTCATTCGTCAACTCCTCAGCTGATCTTGTTTCTTCAGACTGCAGACTGTAGAATTCTGAATCCTCTCTGGGATGGATTTCAGCTGAGCAGGGTAGTCTCACCAACACCTCCAAGTTGTTGGGTTTCGCAGGATTGGCAGCTGGGCCCTGGGTTGGCCTCAGACAGAGTGTTCAGATCAGTTCTGGTGGAGTCCCACGGAGATGGCTCCTTTCCCGGGTGCTGGGATTAAAGGCATCCCTGTTCCAAGCTCTTAATCTCCTTGTTTTCACTAACTCCTCAGCGGGTAATAGTTCAGTTTCTGGTCTTTATTATTTATTATTTATTCTGGTCTCTGCTGCCGCTCGAGGGTTTCCCTTTTCAACATGAACTCTTCCCCGGTGTTGAGGCTTCAGCCAGGGACCTTGTACTTGCTAGATAAGCTCTCTGTTGTAGAATTATTTGAAGGTGTTTTACTTTTGATTTTGTTGTATTTGTTTAACTCTGCAAAGCTGTGTTACTGTGCCTGTCTAAAACACCTGATGGGCTAATAAAGAAATGAACAGCCAATAGCAAGGCAGGAGAAAGGATAGGTGGGGCTAGCAGGCAGAGAGGATATGGAGAAGGAGAGATCTGGGAGGAGTAAAAAAAAAAAAGAAGTAGCCAGAGAGGGAGGAGGACTCCAGGGCCCGCAATCCAGCACCACAGCCAGCCACGGAGTGAGAGTAAGATTTACAGAAGTAAGAGAACGGGAAAAGCCCAGAGGCAAAAGGTAGATGAGAAAACTTAAGTTGAGGAAAGCTGGCAAGAAACAAGTCAAGCTAAGGCCGGGCATTCATAATTAAGAATAAGCCTCTGTGTGTGATTCATTTGGGAGCTGGGTGGTGAGCTCCCAAAAGAGAAAAGAGTTTAAAAAAAAAAAAAAGCTCTCTGTGAACTCATTCCTGTAATCTTAAACCTCATTTGCCTTTGGAGTTTTCATTCTATAGAATTCTTACTCATCTTCTCTCATGTATGAAGGAGATGAAAATCAATTTCACCCACTTGCTTCTGAAAGTAACGGCCCTTTTGGAGCCTGCAGTTCATGAAACTCAGAACGTCATCCTTGGTCAGTGGCCATTAACATAGTATACCAAACTCCCATGATAAATCTGTATAAATAATTTTGATAAAATATTATCTTTTAATTTTTTATTACATTTGTGTGTGTGTATGGGAGTGGGGGTGTGCACATGTGCCGTGTTACTCACATGGAGGTCACAGAACTTGCAGTAATCAGTTCTGTCCATCTGCCATGTGGGTTCCAGGGATCAAACTGGGGTCCTTCAGTCTTAGCAGTAAGCGCCTTTACCTACTGAGCCAGTTCTCCAGCCTGACAAAAATCTTTTCTTCCTAACAGGTCACAGAGCAGACAGCAGAAATACCTGCTTTTCAAGTGGACAGTGAATTCCAGAAAGCCTGTGACATCCTCCAGAGACTGAGAAACTCCCCTCCAACATCTCCTACACCAGCTCAGGTAATCAGAAATGGGGAGGGAAGGAACTCGGTGAAGGGAAGGATGTGGAGACCGTGCCGTTGCAGAACTGGGCACCGTAAAAGTACTGGATGGAAAGAGCTGACTATTGGCAAATACAAATTTAAGTCTGAAATGAGTGCATTGATTGGCGATGGTATTCTCAGTCTACTGATCAGGTTACGTCATTTTAATACGTTTGTTAGGAGAAATCAGGCAACAAAGACAGCCGCGCGGCTCGCCGTAGATAGAAGGGAATGGTCCTGGGACAGGCATCAAAATCGGAATGCTCCTGGCCTTGCCGTTTTCTGCGCTCATGCTCGCTTCCTCATAACTGATCAGGCTGCTTCTTATGCATAAAAAGGCGGTAGCATAAGAGATTCAACTTTCTTTTTTCTATTTTTTGACATTTGTAAATACACCACAATAAGCATGTCTCTGAAGTTCTGGTAGGTTGGTTGGTTGGTTGGTTGGTCGGTCTGGTTCTTTGGTTTGGTTTTTTGCTGGGGGGGGGGGTGTTTATTTTTATTTTTTCTATTTTGAGACAGGGTCTTGTGTGTCCCAGCCTTGTCTCAAACTTGGTGTGTAGCCTAGGATGACCTTACACTGTTGATCCGCCCCCACCACCCCAGTTCCAATATGACAGATATGCACCACCACAACTAGTTTATGTGGTGCTGGGGGTCAAGCCCGAGGCTTCCCGCGTGCTAAAAGTGTTTTTACCAAGTGAGCCGCATCGCCATTCCATCTGTGTTTTTCAATTACAGAAACACGTTCTTAGGAAGAAAATCAAAGCAGAGAAAACACAATCTATATATAGATATATAGATATATAGATACTGTTTCCTAAGTCACGAGCATTTTTAAAATGAATTAAAAGTATACAGATATTTTTAGACCTTTGACTGTTTCGTTTTGTTTTTTCCCCAAGGCAGGGTTTCTCTCTGTAACCCTAGCTGTTCTGGAACTTTCTCTAGACCAGGCTGGTCTTGAACTCACAGAGATCTGCCTGACTCTGCCTCCTACTGGGACTAAAGGTGTGCACCACCACCTCCACCACCACTGCCTGGCACCTTTTAAGTTTTAAGTTAACAAATTGCCTTTCCACACCTGTCTGCATATATTGGCTGACTAATAGTCACCTGAATTTTTTGTTTATTCATGAAACAGCTTACCTATGTGCATCCTTGTAAATACATTGAGTACTTGCAAAACTAATTCTGAGTGCTGCATCAAAGCAATGATAGGCCTTTAGACTTGCAACAGATATGGCCAAATTGTTCTCCAAAAAGGTACGGTTTTCATTTCCACTATAGCCCCACATTCCCATTTTTTGCCCATTTTAAAAGCAAGAAAGGAAGAAGAAGGTATCTTAGTTAGGGTTCTATGGCTGTGATAAAACACTATAATCAAAGCAACTTGGGGAGGAAGGGTTTATTTGGCTTATGGGTTACAATCCTTCATCAGGGGAGGCCAAGGCAGGAACCTGGAGGAGGAACAGAAGAAGCAGGAACCATGGAGGAGCTTGGCTTACTGACCTGTCCTCCATGGCCTGCTCAGCCTGCTTTCTTATTCAACTCAGGACCAGCTGCCCAGGGGTGACACTCCCCACCATGGCCTGGACCCTCCCACACCAATCGTTAATCAATAAAACGCCCTATAGACTTGCTTATAGACCCGTCTTCTTTTTTTTTTTTTTTTTTTCAAGACAGGGTTTCTCTGTGTAGCTTTGCGCCTTTCCTGGAACTCGCTTTGGAGACCAGGCTGGCCTCGAATTCATAGAGATCCTCCTGCCTCTGCCTCCCGAGTGCTGGGATTAAAGGCGTGCATCACCACTGCCCAGCTTAGACCCATTTATAAAAGTATGTTCTCAATTGAGAGTCCTCTTCTCAATAACTCTAGCTCCTATCAAGTTGACAATTAATTAATTAGTTAATTAATTAAAACCACCAGGTAAAGTGGCAGTGTATTGATTTCTACGGAAGCTAATCCTCCCTTTTTGTGCTTGTATACTCGCAGGGGTGTTTATGACTTCATTTCTGTTGACCGTTTTACTTGATTCTGAACCTAAGCATGGATTCTGGCGTTGAGACATGGCCCCTTCCCCTTTATTCCTTCTCCAAATTGCTTTGTGCCATCATCCGTCCTGCTCACTCTTCATTTTGGGCCGTTGGTCTTGTTATTAGAGGCTTTTATTACTAAGGCTAACTGTTGTAGCTGGTTGTTTTTAACTCTTTGCTCTTTGGGGGTCCACCACCCAGCTCCCAAATAAATCACATGGGAGATTTTTTTTTTTTAACTTATGAGTGCCTGGCCTTTGCTTGGCGTATTTCTAGCTAGTTTTTTTTTAATTGTCCCATCTACCTTTTGCCTCTGGGCTTTCATCTTTCTCCATTCTATATACCTTTCTTTACTTCTTACTCTGTGACTGACTGTATTGCCGGGTGGCTGGCCCCTGGCGTCTTCTCTCCTTTTCTTGCTTCTCAATCTCTCCTCCCAGATGTCTCCTCCTATTTCTTCTCTCTGCCTGCCAGCCCTGCCTAGCCTTTCTCCTGTCTTGTTATTGTCCATTCAGCTCTGTATTAGACCATCACGTGTTTTAGACAGGCAAAGTAACACAGCTCCACAGAGTTAAACAAATGTAACATAAAAAACATAAAAGAATGCAGCACATCTTTGCATCATTAAACAAATGTTCCACGTAATAAAAGTGTAACATATCTTAAAATAATATTCTACCATAAACTGTTGTTAATTGTTAACCATACTTCAAATATTTTGTGCCAGTGTAAACTTCTGAATATGTTTGATTTTTTTTTTTTGGTTGCTTGGTTTTTTTGAGACAGGGTTTCTCTGTGTAGCCCTGGCTGTCCTGGAACTCACTCTGTAGACCAGGCTGGTCTCAAACTCACAGAAATCCATCTGCCTCTGCCTCCTGAGTGCTAGGATTAAAGGCATGTGCCACCACTGCCCAGTTTATGTCTTTGATTTTTACAGAAGCTTTTAATAAATATAACTTTGAAAGGAGATAACATTTCAAAACAAAAATAGTAGTACCTACAATGGGTGTCCAGTAACCATCCAATCAAACTTGCCTAGTATTTCCTTTTTGTAGTTAGTTGGTTGGTTGGTTTGAGGCAGGGTTTCACTATGCAGCCTGAGCTGACTTTAAACTTACTTGCAATCTCCCTGTCTCTGCCTCCTGGGTGCTAGGATTACAGGCATGCATCACTGCACCTGGCTGCTTAGCCTTTTTTTTCCTCCTGCATAAAAGAGAACTGGTGTTTTCTATTGTATTTAGAACTTCTCCCTGGTCTCTGTTTTTTGGATATCTGGAAACTTTTGATGTTGCCCCCCATGCCTTCACAAAGAGCCCACCTTCTCAGCATTTGGCCAGACATTGCTCTTTTCCCAAGCATCTGTCTTTTAGTTTGATTTTGTTCACTTAAACAGCTTGTCTACTTAGCACTCCAAGTTCCTTAGAATAACATTAAACACAATCCTCCCCCATAGGTGGCATGGAATCGTATATTTTCCTTGCCTGCCAAATGGTGATGTTGCTTCTTATAAAATACATTTGAACTATGGAATGGATATTGATGTGGGGCTGGGGAATAATTCAGCTGGTGAAGTGCCTGTGCACAAGCTTGAGAACCTGAGTGCACATCTGCAGCACATATGTAAAAGCCAGATGTGGCCCTGCATGTCTGGAAATCTACTGATGGAAAGGTGGAAACAGACAAAACCCTAGAGTTTGCTGGTCAGCTGGGCTAGCCAGTTGGTAAGACTCCTCTGTTCAGTGAGAGACCCTGTCTCAAAAAACATGGTGGAGAGCAACTGATGAAGATATATGACATCGATCTGGCCTCCAGATGCACATACACCCACATGAATATGGGCACACACCATACACACATATATACATACATGAAGAAAAGGAGGGAGAGGAGGGGGAGGGAGAGAATATTGCACTGCTTATAAGAAGGCACAAATAAATTTAAAACAGGCACAAGCAGCTACATGTGTTTCCTTTCTGACGCCCCTAGGTCAGCGTGGCCAACTTACTCCTTGACCTGAGTGAGCAGCTGATGATGATCCCATTTCAGCAAGATGACAGTCGGAACTTCAAAACTCCGGCTGTTGTCTGCCCCCTTCAGCCTCTTGGTAGTACAATAACAACCAAGAAAGGAAGTCAGCAGATTCTTCAGCAAGACACTGAGCTTGCTGAGGTGAGTGTGTGGTATGCCAGTGGCCAGCTCTGCCACACAACCTCTCCCCAGTCTTTAAAAGAGAATTCTGCTGGAGAGACTGCTGAGTCTTCTCTGGCCTCTTTCTCTACCCAACCAGTGTACAGAGGCTACTGAATGCTCACTTCACAATCAGTGAAAGGATTTAGTAAAGCACATCATAAACCCTCGATGAGATAGCCAACACCCTTAGCTATTAGGAAAATGCAAACTAAAACTAAGAAGCTGGATAGAGTGTTATCCCAGCACTAGGGAGGCTGAGACAGGGGGATAGCAAGTTCAAGGCCAGCCTGGGCTGTGTAGCAAGGCCTTGGAACGGGAGAGAATGGAAGACAATGGGAAGGAAGGGAGGGAGGAAGGGGGAAAAGAGGGTGATAACAATTCACACCAAAAAATATGGACAAGCCAGGTATGGTGACACATGTCTGTGATTCCAGTGCTCAAGAGGCAGAGGCAAGTGGACCTGAGGGGTTCAAGGTTATCCTTGGCAGCACACTGAGTTTGAGGCCAGCCTGAGATTCTTTCTTAAATCAACATCAGAGGGGCGGGGAGGGAGACAATAATAAATATTAGCAAGGATGCTAAGACACTATAACCATGATAAATTGTTGTGTTTGGAAATAATGCAGCAGCCCATCAAAGTGTGAGAAATAATCTGGCTGCATCTCTAGCAATTATGCTCTTTGGTATTATGTACAGGAGAGAATTTAAGCAGGTCCACACAAAAAATATGTTCAAAGCCGGGCGGTGGTGGCGCACGCTTTTAATCCCAGCACTCGGGAGGCAGAGCCAGGCGGATCTCTGTGAGTTCGAGGCCAGCCTGGGCTACCAAGTGAGTTCCAGGAGAGGCGCAAAGCTACACAGAGAAACCTTGTCTCGAAAAACCAAAAAAAAAAAAAAATATATGTTCAAAAGAGGGTTTTTCAAGCAGAAAAAGAGCCCAATGTGGAAACAGTCCCACTGCGTGTGATCTGAGGGGTGGTGGATAAATTACAATACAGCACATTCACACAAAGACTGTTTAGCCACAGGAAGGAATGACGTACTAATACACGATACAGTATGGGTAACCCTCAGGAACATCATGTCACATGAAAGGCCATCTATTGGAGTTCACCTTGAGAAATGTCCAGAAGCATTAGGTCTGTAGAAGTCAGAGTAGGCCAGTTTATTTTAGGGGGATGAATTTAAAAGCTAGATTGTGGTGTTGGTTACATATGTAGATGTAAAACATATATTCTGAGTGGGTGAGTTCTACCACATTTGGGAATTTCATCTCAACAGAGCTGTTTTTAAGTATTAATCATACTGCTGGGGCTGTATCTCAGCTGGTAAAGTGCTTGCCTGTGCTGCAAGAAGCCCCATGAACCATCCACAGCACCCCACAGATTGAGCATACACAGCATTTGGGATTGGAGCGGGAGGATCAGAAATACTAAGTGATATCTGGCTGCAGAGTGAGTTTGAGGTCACCCTGGGATACAGGACACCTTGTCCTCCCACCCCACACAGCACCTATCGAGAACACTGAGGGAAACTCCTATCAGAGGTGTGAATAGAAACTCCTCACACTAAACCGTCCACAGGGCTGATTAACTGGTTAGAACTTGCGGGGATGGGGGGGGGGAGGAGTTTGGAATGGTACAAGTTCAGAGCCAAGTTATCTTGGGCCATCATTAGCCCTCTTAATAACTATGTGTTGTCTGCATGTGACCTGGCATCTGTGTGACCAGTAGATCCTTTGAAATGTCCAAACAGACACCTAGCTCCTACTAACCAAAAAGCTGAGAATGCTACCGGACGGCAGCTCTGGACTATAGAACAGAGTTCCCAATTTCTTCAACCCTCCTATCTGCTGTTTCCACCAGTGTATTTGAAAACTCCTCCATTTAAGACTTCCTTTGTTCTGTTGTCATAACGACTCCATCCAGCTGTCACCATGATGGAACATGGAATTTGGGGGACCTGGGCCTTGGTCACTCATACTTAGCCCCAGACTGAACTCTCTCATCCCCTTTGAGATAAGAGCTGTTTCTTTCACCAATATGGGGCAAGTGTGTGTGTGTGTGTGTGTGTGTGTGTGTGTGTGTGTGTGTGTGTGTGTGTGTTTGATGCAAAGTTGTTAGTGAGACTCTGAGCACTTCTGTGAGGTTCCAAAGTCCATGCTTGCTCCCTCCCCTTTCTTTACACCACTATCAAAATCCCAGTTCCCCTGGGAACCCCATCAGAACTATTTCAGTAACATCCCACAGATCACAAGGAATCTCACTCTAAATGCAGGTTGCAGACATGCTGGAGATGTCCTTGATGGCCCTGGGAGAGATCCACAAAGCATTTTGCCAGCGGAGCCTGTCTCCTGAGTCGGCAGTGACCTTGACCTCTCCTGTTGCTACTCTGCTGTTGAGCAGGTTAACCGGCTGGAGGGCTGGGGAAATTTTGTTATTTTGTTTTGGTTTTGACTTTTAGAGGGTGTACAGAAACTGATTGGCATTTAAATTCTTTCAGCCAAAATGTATCATCTTTGCCTCTGAGCACTTATACTCTGGGTGACCCTGCACCCTTGAGGTTAGGTTTTCCATCAGCAGAAGCGCTGAAAGAGCTCTTGAATAAACACCCAGGAGTGAACCTTCAGGTGAGTATGAACTTGACTGAGATGGGAATGAAAACGGTATATGATGGCTGTGTGGGAGTGTAGGGGGAGAGAATACACATCATCCGGGCCACATAAGGAAGACTGTGGGCATTAATGTATATTTCATATTGAGAAGAGAAAGGTCTCTTAAAAATGATCCAGTAGGGGCTGGGGAGATGGCTTAGTGGGTAAGAACACATGCTCTGTCAATAAGAGGACCTGAGTTTGAATCTCCAGCACCCGTATAAATGTGGGCCTGGCTGTGTGTGCCTGTAACCTCAGCACTGGGGTGCAGAGACAGGCACATATGAGAGTTCATTGGTCAGCCAGCCTAGCCAAAACCACAAGCTTCTACTTCAGTGAGAATCCCAGACAAAGAGCACTGGAAGATACTCAGTATCCTGCTCTGCTCTCTACATGCCTACTCATTGCCATAAGCTCTTGCACCCATGGACTCATATGTATGTAACACACACACACACACACACACACACACACACACACACACACACACACACACCTAGTATATAGCTAGGTTTGATGGCAGATGCCTGTTTTCCTAGCACTTGAGAGGCAGCAGAAGGATTGTTGTGAATTCAGAGTTCAGGGATAGCCTGGGCTACATTGCAAGTCTTGAAAAAAATCCAATAGAGAGCATTAAACAGATATGCGACTTTAACTGTGTTTCTGTATTGTGATTTGAATTGATCTCAACTACTGACAAAGCTGGGATTATCTGAATCGTAACAATTCAGTGTAAAAAACACCAACAGTATTGGGGTGTAGAACCCTTGCTTCCAGAGAGCAAATGTGTGCAAATGATGTTGAGGGTCTTTCATTGTTTCTCTTCAGCATTACAATGTTTAGCATCCCTTCTTCACTTCTCACGTTGCTGGAGAATCCCAGCATTTGATTTAGAGCTGCTACCTTGTAACCTGTTGGGGGGCAGGGATGCTCTCCTTTAAGAACAACTTGGCAATTGGAGGAACTGGAATGTGCTTCCTCTCCAGGTAACAGGTCTGGCTTTCAACCCTTTTGAGACTTCAGATGACAAGAACATTGTTGGAAGCATTGGAAATGTATTACTGAGCTCTGGTTATCACTCGCTCCAAGTCCACGATTTAATAGAAGATATTGAGGTACCAGTTTCTTGATGGAAACAGGACATGCTGGAAAAGAGCATGGAAAGATACAACGACTTAGCATTTTAGATTCATGTCAGAGCTAAGTACATGGCACATGCCTTTAATCCCAGCACTTGGGAGACAGAGGCAAGCTATCTCTGTGGATTCGAGGTTATCTAGGATACATAGTAAATTCTCTATGCCAGAAAGGCTACACAGTGAGACCCTGTTTTTTTAAAAAAAGGATCCATGTCAGGGCCAGTATTTTGTTGCACATCTCTGGAAGCTTCACAAAGAGATAGACCTTACTCAGTCCCAGGAGAAGCCTCTAGAGATTGTAATCTTCTCTACTAATCCCTGGCATTGTGCTGCCTACTAAGACCCAACAAAGAAACCTTGGGAAATTTGTTACCTCATAACTACAAAGGAAGCAGAAAGGCCCATTGCCCCGGCCAGCGGGGTCTCAACAGGGGCAACCCACCTGCGGGAGAGAATGAAAGGGACGGGGAGACATGAGAGAAGACAGCAAGACAGTGTTCTGATCAAGCTGCAAATTTTATTCTCCTCAGCAAGGCTTATATAGCATGAGAGGGGGAGGGGGCAGGAAGGAGGGAAGGGGTGCAGTACGTGCCGTACGTGCAGGTGAAGGGGGACGTGCAAGTCATGAGGGTGTTGTGCTAGGTGGTAAGGTCACTGGTCAGACCCCATTGTTCTGTTGCTATGCTACCTGACCTACCTGACCTGTTCTTTATCTTTGGGGGCATCTGGTTTAGGGCAGGGGCTTGTTCTCTGGCCTAGCTAGTACTTTTCCATGGTCCATGTTCGGTCCCTGACAGCCCATCTTAACCTGGAGGATTACGTGTCTCTCTTTCAAGTCAGGCGGTGGTGGCGCACGCCTTTAATCCCAGCACTCTGGAGGCAGAGCCAGGCGGATCTTTGTGAGTTCGAGGCCAGCCTGGTTTATAGAGGAAGATCCAGGAAAGGTGCAAAGCTACACAGAGAAACCCTGTCTCGAAAAACAAAACAAAACAAAAAAATAAAGTGTCTCTCTTTCTAGATCGTGCTCTGGAGAAATGCCAGCATGGAGACCCAGCCCACCAACCTCAACACAAGTACAGACCGTTTCATAATCACAGTGAATATCACCTCTGTGGAGAAAACCCTCATTGTGACCATCGAGCCGGAAAGTCCCCTTCTGATGACACTCTACCTGGGCTTCCAGGACAAGCCTGACCACACTCACTTCTACCTCAATGCCAGCCTTCCGAGGGACCAGGTGTGGCAGAAAGGTATCAGCCATCAGATGTCTGAAACTTAATTGATATGTTTTTCTCCTTTTTAACTTGTGATTGTGAGGTAATTGTAGGTTCACACACAGCTATAAGATGAAGCAGCATGCTTGTTTTTTTAACCAGTCTCCCCAAAGGCTGAGCTACAAGTTCACAACCAGGAAGTAACCTTGACACAATATACTATCAGTAGATATTCCCAGGATTCCAAGCATTCACCTCTCTATATATGTGTACCTTGTTTTATTTAATTAAAGATGGGTTATGTAATGCATAGAAGGATATAGATATATGCTCTATATATACTTATATAGAGAGATAGATCATATATGTGATAAAGCAAATTTTATTAAATGCTAATTGTAGAACTCAATGATAACATGAATATACACTATAAAACTCAACTTTCAGTGTAGTTGAAAACATTCATAAACATAGTAAGGACTGGGTCATAGCTCTGTGGTAGAACATATGTTTAGTATGGCAAGGCTGGGATTCCATCATTAGGATGAAAAGAAGTTGAGACCAGCTGAAGAAATAACATTCTAGTGCCATGGGCCAGACCATATCATTTCAAGCGTACTAAGATATAGATGAATGTATATAAAATAATACATATCCCAATTTCCATTTTTAGTCTTAGATTTGGGAAAGGGTCAGAGACAGTAAGTCTTGATATAAGACAGAATGACATTATTGGAGGAGTTAGGAATCTTTGGAAGCAGAGCTGAGGGTGTGGCTCAGTTGATGGAGTACCTGCCTACTGCGCACAAAGCCCTGATTTGATCCCCAGCACCACTGGTTTTGTTTCTAAGAATTTTTGAAATAATACCAGTAGTTAAAATTTTCTGCACAGTTGAGCATAGGGGCCTGTAATCTTAGCCCTTGAGAGAGGAAGGCAGATGAATCAAGAGTTCAAAGCTATCCTTGGCTTTATAGCAAGCTGGAGGCCAACCTACACAAAACAAAATTCTGAGAGGTTAGAGAGATGGCTCCATGAATAAAATGTCTGCTACTCAAGCATTGGGACCTGAGTTTGGATCCCCAGCATCCATGTAGAAAGCTCACTATGGATGCTCTTATCACTGGTGGGAGACAACAGCGGATCCCTAGAACTCATCAACCGGCCAGCCTAACCGAACTGATGGGTTCTCACTCAGTGAGAGACCCTAAAGTGACAAGCAATCAAGGCAGATACCCAGAGTCAACGTCTGGCTCCCAAATACAAGAGCACACATGCACACGTGCACACACATATGGACAAATATATACCACACACACAAATATTTGAGACCCATGAGTGATGCCTAGATACACTTGATCCACCATGCTCTATGAATGTAACTTTGAAATGTACTGGAAAGTCACAGAGTCACTTAGAGTTGGAAGGACCTTTGCTGTGAAGACGAGGAAACTGAGGCCAGGGAGATAAAGTGCCTTGTCTTAATCCTTGACGGCCACCAGGACAGGACACAGGGGCTCATGGGAAACCCAGTTCCCTGCAACCACTGCATTTTCGTCCTTCCTTTATCCCAGAGCTTGTCACCTAAGGTGGGCGGTGACGTTGTTCTCTTCAAGTGCCTGTGTGTGTAATGGGAGAGCGGGTTGTGGAGGAGTCAGGGGGCGCCTGACACTGATGTTGGACATCTTTATCAGTCATTCTCTTACCTTATTCTTTGAAGTGAGGTGTCTCAGTCAAACCCAGAGCTTGCCGGGATGATGAGTGTGGGTAGCCAGCTTCCCTGGGGATGCCTCTACCTTTCTGAGACTGGGATTACAGGCAGGTTGCCATATCCACCCAGCACTTATGTGGGCTCTGGGGAGCTGAACTCTGATCCTCTTGCTGGCTTGCCGTACACTTCACTTTAACTGCTAAACTAGCTCGAAGCCCACCCCCCCCTTTTTTTTAAGTCTCGTGTATCCAAAGCTGGGCTCAAACCCACTATATAACCAAGGATAGCCTTGAACTTCTGATCCTCCTGTGTCCATCTCTCAAGCGCTAGCTACCTAGGATTACAGATTTGTACCACCATGATGGGTTTATTGGTGCTGGGGATCAAACCCAGCATATATGTTAGGTTTATATGTGTTAGGCAGGCACTCTTACCACTGAGCTACATTCCCTGCCTTAGTCAGTGTTCTATTGCTGTGAATGACCACAGCAGACATGGTGCTGGAGAAGTAGCTCTAAGTTCTACATCCAGATCTGCAGGAAGCAGGAGGAGAGACACTGGGCCTCACTGGGCTTTTGAAACATCAAAACACATACCCAGTGACACACTACCTCCAACATGGCCACACCTACTCCAACAAGGTCACACCCTCTTGTCCTTCTCAAGTACTGCCACTCCCTGCTGACCAGGCGTTCAAATATATTAGCCTATGAGGGCCGTTCTTACTCAAACCATCACACAGCCCATGTGTGATGGTTTCATTTTTCTAAAACTCATAGTGCATTCCAGTTCATTAGGCATAAACGTGCACATATCAAAAGAACATGATTCTTTTACTGGAATGGATCTGATGCAGAGTTCAGGATTGTGTCACTGGTCTTTTTTTTTTTTTTTTTTTTTGCACACATTTCTGGTACTAGACTTATATCCTCATTTGTAAGATAACAGTAATGAATAATAGTAGTCCTGGATCTGAAGGGATTTTATCCCATCGGAAGTATAACCCATGATCCTTCTTTGTCCTAAGATGAGGAGTACACATGGGTGCTGACACCAGAGAGCCTGCAGTATGGGAATGGCACTTACTACATCATGGCCGTGGTAAATAAAAGTACAGAGGCCACACAGTGCACACCTATCCTGGTCTCGGTGGTAACGGCCATCACCCAGTGCTATTTCTGGGACCGAAACAACAGGACATGGAGGAGCGATGGATGCCAAGTAAGGGGGGCTCTCTGAAACCTTAGCTGCACCTCTCCCCTTCCCTCCTTGGGGATAGGTCAGAAACAACAGCAATCTGAAGGAAAGCAAATCATCCTGGGGACAGAGAGGAGGGTGGCCTGTGGTAGCCGGGCAGGTGTGTCTCTAGAACAGCAGGTCCGTGCTGTCTTTTTCTAATTCCCATCTCAACGCAGTGGCATGCCAGTCTGACTGTGCTGGGCACTGAGTGACAGCTGACAGCTATAGACGAAGAGAGAAAGTAGATGTGGAAGCTGCTTGCTAAATATGCTGTGGCTAAAAGAACCAAGCCTCCTGCTAGACAGAAGAAAACTTTTCCAGTTGGGAATATGTTATAGAAAGCGGATGGGGAGGTGGCTCAGCAGTTAGAGCATTCTCTGCTCTTCTAGAGGACTCAGTCAAGTTCAATTCCCAGCCTCCATGTGTTGGCTCACAGCCACCACCTGTAACTCTAACTCCAGGGAATCCAATGGCTTCTTCTGGCTTCTCAACCCCCGCCCCCCCCCCCCACACACACACACACAAATAAAAGAAAAGTAAGCCTTAAAAAAAAAAGAAGAATACATTGTAGATTCTTGAACACCACAGACAGGCAAGGACAGACTGCCACATTTACAGTTACCACCTTGTCCCTGGCGTCTGGCCCTTCCAGAAGACATCATACCTCTCACTACATAGCCCAGGTTGGCCTCCTGTTCTTGATCTTCTTGCTTTGGCCTCCTTGAGTATTAAGGTTACAGGCATGCGTCACCACACCCAGCTTGCACATCCTTGATCCAGTGGGTGCCAGCCTGATCTAATGTCTACTTCAGTAACACCACACTGGTAAATGTTACTGGCAAAGCCCTGGTCATCATGAAGCTATTCTTCCAAGGTCTGAGACTGGATCTGTGTGTGGTGGTGTTTGTGTGTAACCCCAGCCCTTGGGAGGCAGAACAGGGGGATCATGAGGTCAAGGCTAGCCTGAGCTACATAGTGAGACCCTGTGTTTAAAATTTAAAAAAAAAATTAAAGCTGGGCAGTGGTGGTGCACACCTTTAATCCCAGCATTTGAGAGGCAGAGCCAGGCGGATCTCTCTGAGTTCGAGGCCAGCCTGGTCTACAGCGCGAAGTTTAGGACAGGCACCAAAACTGCATGAAGAAACCCTGTCTCAAAAAACCAAAAAGAAAAAAAAAATTGAGCTTGGCAAGGAAAAAACTGAATTCTCAGGAAAGCTACTGCCTCAAACAGTAATGTCTGGTAGCTACTTCTCAGGCAAATCCCCCAACCAGGAGCATATTAAGAAGAAGGTTCTGCTGTGGTGGTTGTGGGTGAGTCATGCGTTGAGGAGCAAGATTCAAGGTTTTTGCTCTCGGGACGCAAGCGTTGATGACAGAGCCGTTGGGATGCTTCTGCCCATAGAGTCCCTCTGGGATGCTGTGTCTCTGAGTACAAGGAAAGGGATGTTCCCAGGCCGGAGGAGGGCCTGAGCAAGCAAGACTTAGCATCATGCAGCAGAATTAAGGAATTAGTCACAGAGGCAACATTTTCAGTGGAGGGGAGCAGTCCCAAGACTTCACACTTGCTAGATAGGCACTCCGCCACTGAGCCCACGTTACAGGCTTTCAATGCACCAACTCAAACATGCGTTGCTAGCTTCCATTTGTTCATACTTACTGGTGCAATTTTAAAATACACATTATGAAGAAACGTTATACCATATGGAAAATGACAGGGAATAATTTAAAAGTTCTAAACGTACCAGTCAGCTTTATCAAAGTTATTATTTTTTTATAATTCAGAGGGTTTTTGTTGTTGTTGTTGTTTTATTTGAGACTAATTGAGTAGGGTCTAATTATGTAGCCCAAGCTGGCCTGAATCTCATCGAGATCCACTCGGTTATGCTGGGATTATCGGCGTGCACGCCATTACACCTGGCCTCGTTCAGAGTCATAAAGATAAGAAAACACTCAGGGCTAATAGGGGCCAGCTGTGTGCCCTCACTGTTGTCCCTCCCTTCTGTAGAGGGCGGCCACGGCCCTGGGGTTGCTGTGCACACTCGTTCTTTCTGCACCTGCTCGATGGACGCCTTCCACATGAGGTGCCACGTTAGAAACTAGAGATGCAGTGATGGGTCATCAGCGAAGAAGATGCCACACATCCAAGGCCTGCCAGTCAGAGTGCAACCCCAAGAACCCAAAGGGGAGAAGGGGAGAACTCACCCGTGCACATACACATGATAAATAAACGTATAGAAGCCAATCTTTGCCCAGCCTGGGCTACCAAGTGAGTCCCAGGAAAGGCGCAAAGCTACACAGAGAAACCCTGTCTCAAAAAACCAAAAAAAAAAAAAAGAAACCAATCTTTGCATCCTTCTGTCTCAACGCCACTGGTGTTTCCATTTCCTGCTTGCCACTCCTTAGCACTCTACCTCAGAATCGGCATCTTTGGTCTACTTCCAGGCAGGCCCGAAGAGCACCATTTGGAAGACACAGTGTCTCTGTAACCACCTGACCTTCTTCAGCAGTGACTTCTTCATCCTGCCCAGGACGGTGGATGTGGAAAACACCATCAAACTGCTGCTTCGTGTGACCAACAACCCTGTTGGGGTGTCATTGCTGGCCAGCCTTTTAGGAGTCTATAGTCTCTTAGTCACATGGGCTTGGAGGAAGGATCGAGCAGACATGCAGAAGGTGAGAAGGCTTGGACTCCAAAGGCCATGGTGTCTTGAGTGTGTTGAGTTAGATAGGGAGATGTAGGCATCGTGGGCCAGGGAGCAGGGAAATTCAGGTAGGGTCATATTCAATTTTTCTGCATATCTACTATCTCAAAAGAAAGTAGGTTTTTTTTCTTTTTCTCTCTTTCATTTTTTTGTGTTGTTATTGTTGTTTGTTTGGTGCCAAGGTTGGATTGTCACAGGAGTCATGTAGATTAGAAATAAACCAGAAAATAGCTGTCCTAGGAACTCAACTGAAATCAGACTCATATTTTTGTTTATTTGTTTTTCAACACAGGGTTTCTCTGAGTAACCCTGGCTGTCCTGGAACTCATTTTATAGCCCAGGCTGGCCTCGAACTCAGAGATCCACCTGCCTCTGCCTCCAGAGTGCTGAGATTAAAGGCGTGCACCACCACTGCCCAGCTACCAGACTCATATTTATCTCACCTTATAACTAGAAAAACTTATGCTGAGTCAAATTATAATTTAACATAACTACAACCTACAGGAAACCAGTAAAGAATTCTTTTCTGAGACTGAGGGTGTGGCTCACTGGGTAAAGGTCCTTGCCATCAAGGCTGATGAACTTGGCTGGATCCCCAGTGCACACATGATGGAAAGGAAAGAGCAAGTCCTCTGCCCTCCACTTGTGTGTCATGGTACACCTGTGCCCCACCCTGCACACAAAGAAATAAATGCTCAAACTTTGAAAAATGATTTTCTGTGTCTTCAGACATGATCTCATACTGTCCCCTAACCTGACCCAAGAAACACATTATATAGCCCAGGCTGACCTTGACATCACAGTAATCTTCAAGTGCTGAAATTACAGATGTGAGCCACCGTCCTTGGCTGGGTAAATTTCTTTTAAGACAGGGTCTCACTGAGTAGTTCTGGTGGGCCTGAAACTCACTATATAGTTCAGGCTAGCCTGGAGCCTACAGAGATCCACCTGCCTCTGCCTCCAAGTGACACCACACCTAGCTATGACTAGAAAAAAAAATTTTTTAAGGATTTATTTATTATAGATACAGTTCTGCCTGCATGTCAGAAGAGGGCACCAGATCTCATTACAGATGGTTGTGAGCCACCATATGGTTGCTGGGAATTGAACTCAGGTCCTCTGGAAGAGCAGTCAGTGCTCTTAACCTCTGAGCTATCTTTCTAGGCCCCCCCCCCAATTTTTTAAACAGTGAAATTCTTTGACATCTTTTTCTTAATGTATGTTTTATACATTTCTTATTTTGTGTTTTTTTTTTTTATTCAAGGCCTTATACATGCTAGGCAAGGGCTCTCCCAATATCTCCACTGCAGCCTCTTGTTTATACTTGGAAGTTCTAGGAGGTGGAGTATCTGTTTCTTATTGTCCTGGGTGCAGTGCCACCAGCTTTAGTAAATAAAGATAGAAGACAGGCTGTGCAGTGTGGTATAAGCCTTTAATGCCAGCACTCGGGAGACAAAGACAGGTGGCTCTCTGTGAGTTCAAGGCCAGCCTGGGCTACAGAGTGAGTTCCAGGGCAGCCAGAGCTGTTACACAGAGAAACCCCCGTCTCAAACAAACCAAAAGAAAATAAAAATAAATTTAAAAAAAGACAGCAACCTAATTTGCATTTCATATGAACATATAAACAGCAAATGAATCTTTAGCAGGCCCCATGACCCTCATCGTTTGTCTGAAGCTCCAGTTTCCCTGGGCGTCCTCCACATGACATGCTACTCCCACCTGAGTGGGAGGGAGGTGGAGGGCTTATTGCCCAAGGCCCAGTCAGGTGATTCTGAGGATGTTTCTTTGTGAAGACAGAGCCTAGAGTTTCAGACCTCATCCCTCTGGTCACTCTGCTGGCCTGTGTGTGCTTGCCTGGTGACATCACCTCCCACTGCTTCCCATGGGGTCCCAACATTGCCACAGAGAAGCCTGTTCCCAGCGGGGGCCCTCCTGAGTCAAGACCTGGCAAGCTCATTGCGTCTGCTCTTCCTGCAGGTGAAGGTGACCGTCCTGGCTGACAACGACCCCAACTCTGCATTCCACTACCTTATCCAGGTCTACACTGGGTATCGAAGGAGGGCTGCTACAACAGCCCAGGTTAGCAGGACCCACGCGCATTGCTGTGTGTTTTCTGTGATGGGGCACGCTCTAACTTGGCAATATCTTGGGGTCCAATAGCGCTTTAAAAGGAATCACAGGGGCTGGAGAGATGGCTCAGAGGTTAAGAGCACTAGCTGTTCTTCCAGAGGTCATGAGTTCAATTCCCAGCAACCACATGGTGGCTCACAACCATCCAAAATGAGATCTGGTGCCCTCTTCTGGCCTGCAGACATACATGCAGATAGAACATTGCATATATAATAAATAAATAAATCTTAAAAAAAAAATAAAAAAATTAAAAAAATAAAAGGAATCACAGGAATTGGCATTGCCTAGTCCTAAAGCGCAATGTGAGGAACCCTCTGTCCTTGTCTGACAACTTCCAATGGCTGCTTCTTTCTGCTTAAGGAAAAACCCCAGAGAACAGGGTCACAGTGCCTCCTGTTTCATCTTTTCTGGCCACATGTTAGGTTGTTATCACCCTCTATGGCTCAGAGGGGCACAGCGAGCCCCACCACCTATGTGACCCGCAGAAGGCAGTCTTCGAGCGTGGAGCCCTGGATGTTTTCCTGCTCTCCACTGGGTCCTGGCTGGGGGACCTGCATGGCCTTCGGCTGTGGCATGACAATTCTGGCAACAACCCTTCTTGGTAAGTACCTGCCCTGGGCTGGCTCACTTTTTCTTTAGAAATTTTTTTGCATTTATTTCTTTTTTTTGGGGGGGGGGGTTGAGACAGGGTTTCTCTTTGTCATTTTGGTGCCTGTCCTGGAACTCGTTCTGTAGACCAGGCTGGCTTTGAACTCACAGAGATCCTCCTGCCTCTGCCTCCTGAGTGCTGGGACTGAAGGCGTGCACCACCACACCTGGCTTATTTCTTTATTTTGTATGTGTGTGTGCACACCACTCACCCATGTGTGGAGGTTAAAGGATAATCTGAGAGTCAGTTCTCCTCTTCCACCAGATGGTTCCGGAAATTGAACTCAGGTTGTCAGACTTGGTGGCCAGTGCCTTTACCCACCGAGCCACCTCACTGGCTCTTGTTTCTAGGTCCCTTGTAGCCTTTCGAGAGACCAGCAAGTTACCATGGTAAACAATAATGCTTTCAGCCAAACCCTAACAAGTGGCTGCTGGATTCCTGTCTGCAGAGGACAAAACCCAGAAAGAAATATGGAAGCTGACAGTACAGTGGTGTGTGTGTGTGTGTGTGTGTGTGTGTGTGTGTGTGTGTGTGTGTAATGGAGGACGAGCCTCGCCCTCATTTTTATTGTGTCATAACTGTCAACAGCACATAGTAATGGTGACAATAACAAAAGGGTGCCTGAAAATGAGATTAAAGTCTTCTGTCTGAGACAGGACTCAATGTAACCCATGTTGCTGACTTTCCTCTTCATTTCCTGACTTTCCTCTCCCGGTCCTGGACTGAATCATCTGCTGCTTTGCATCCTCTTTCGGATCGGTCATCGTTTTACCAGAAACCCTTTGGCATCTGCATCTGGCCTTTTAGCCATTTCCATGTCTTTGAGTCCAGTCGTTGAGTTCTGGTCTATGGAGGGGTCATGTCACCTTTCACGGTTTCTGTAGTCCTGTGTTGTTACTCACATCTGTTGGTTTGGATAGCTCTTCTGGGTTGTGTGTGTGTGTGTGTGTGTGTGTGTGTGTGTGTGTAGAGGGTCTTCTTAATTAACAAAATATTCTTAAAGGTTCAATCCCCACTACCACCAGGAATGCATCTGGTGCACATACATACAGATAAAGTAAAAAAAAATAATAATCTTTTTTGTTATAGACAGAGACTCATTATGTAGCCCTGGCTGGCCTGGAACTCTCTAGGTAGACCAGGTTGGCTTTGAACTCATAGATATCTGCCTGCCTCTTTCTCCCAAGTGCTGGGGTTAAGGTGTACATCACCATAATCAGCCAAAAATCTCTTTCTAGTGTTTTTTTTTTTTTTAGGTTTTTCGAGACAGGGTTTCTCTGTGCAGCTTTGCGCCTTTCCTGGATCTCGCTCTCTAGACCAGGCTGGCCTCGAACTCACAAAGATCCGCCTGCCTCTGCCTCCCAAGTGCTGGGATTAAAGGCGTGCGCCACCACCGCCCAGCCTAGTGTATTTTTTTAAAGATTTATTTATTATGTACACAGAGGAGGGCTCGAGATCTCATTACAGATGGTTGTGAGCCACCATGTGGGTGCTGGGAATTGAACTCAGGACCTCTAGAAGAGCAATCAGTGTTCTTAACCTCTGAGCCATCTCTCCAGCCCCTCTAGTGTATTTTTTAATAGAACTTGCAAGTTGGAATAATTCCTTGGTCTGTGGTCTGCACAATGGATGTTGGGTTAGCCAGCATGAAAACAGCATTAACTTCTCTGTGTATCTCTGTCAGAGATCTTAGGGACCAAGTATGTTCCCAGTGACTATTGTGGTTTTAAAGGAAAACTTTCTCTGAGTAGTAGTTACCGACGAGCTAAAACATTCACTACACCTTGTTGTAAATGGGTGTGCAGGCATCCAGGCTTTGCTGAACCATGTCCAGATTCAATCTAATTTCCCAGAACTATAAGATGTTCAGAATGGCAAATTGGCATTTGCTACCACTTCAGGTCACCAGCAGCACCAAAACTGGGCACTGACTTTTCCTGTCCGCTATGAAAATCCAAGATGGCTCCTTCTTCCCATGCAGCGCAGCGTCATCTGATTGAACACCTGTTGAGCGTAGCCCTCTTCATCCAAGGTCGTAGCTGGATCTTCTAGATTTCCTTCTGCATCTTCTTCGTTGACATTGTTCCTTCCCTTTGCGTCGCGTGTCCAGGAGCAGCTTCTTGCTGTAAACCACATGAGCCAGGCTCTGCGAGCCTCTTCTGCTGCTTCCTGACCTTTGGGAATCTTCAGAGAACTGAAGAGAGTTACAGTGTTGCTTGGATAAGGGTTCGGGAATGCTGTGTCTGGTCTGATGTTGCCCAGAACACTAAAATTTTCTCCATCATCAACATGAAGCCTGTTCTGCTTTCTCATCCGCGTGTCCTTTAGAGTAGTGATCTTCATCTCCTTCAAGACCTTCTCCTTCCTGGTCCTAAGTTGGCTTCCATTTGGCCCAGGAGCACCAGTGTCCTGCCTGTCTCAGCTTTGAATGCCTTCCTCACTCAGCCCAATCATTCCTAGTTCTTGATTTAAAGGAAGAGACTGTAAGAGAGTCTCGCTTGAACGCTTAGAAGCCGTGGTAGAGTTACTAACTGTCCTTATTTCAGTGTTTGATTGTTGTGTCTCAAAGAATAGAGACCCCCAAAGAGATGGGGAGAACTGTGGGAGGGGCTAGTCCATGGAGCAGTCAGAACGTGCACAATAGTGACGGGTGGAGCTCACCGTCTCATGTATGGATTGTAGTTCATGGCACCCTAAAACCTTTGTAGACCTGAGGTCAGGAGGCGCTAACCACTGCGCTGCGCATCATGCCTCTGAGAAGTGCCGACTGGTACTCTGTGTATCATTCTGCTGTTCTACTATGTTTTAGATATAGTTAAAGGCTGAAATACTGTAGCTGAGGGGTAGGGGAGGTGGCTCAGTGTCACAAGTGCTTGCCATGCATGTGTGACAACCTGAGTTGGAATCCCCACCCAAAGTCAGGCGTGGTAATGTGCATTTGTCTTCCCAGAACTCCTACAGCAAATGGGAGGGGGAGACAGGAGAATCCCTAGTGGATGCAGCTGTGAGCAAGGGACCCTGTCTCAAACAAGGTAGAAGGAGAGGACTGACATCCAAGGCTGCTTTCTGATCTCCATATGCACCCTGTAGCACGTGCACACGACATTATGCACAGAAAATGCACACATTTGAAAAAAAACATATAGGTAGAGGATCAAATCTAAGATCTGAGGGTCTATAGTTCTGATGCGGCTACAGACCCAGATAAGGTGAGAAGTCATAAATGTTGAACATTGATGATGAAAAATAGAGGCGCATGGGATACTTTAAGAAGTAATAGATCATTATCACACACAGAACAAAGAGAGATGCACACACACACACACACACGCACGCACGCACGCACGCACAAATGCATCTTCTCAGGCAGCAAAATTTGCAGTCAGCATCTTGAACATGAACTTCCTGAAGGCAGCAAGTGGGACTGGCTTGCCTGCCTATCATTCTTGTCTTGCAAAGCATCAGTTGCTTACTTGGGTACTCACTGCAAGTGCAAGATAACCTCTTACCACACAGCAAGCAGTCACTGCCCTCCTTCCTGACATGGTGACCTTTATCTGACTATAGGTATGTAAGCCAAGTGATTGTCAGTGATATGACCGTGAAGAAGAAATGGCATTTCCAGTGCAGTTGTTGGCTGGCCGTGGACTTGGGCAACTGCGAGCGTGACAGGGTCTTCACACCGGCCTCCAGGAAGGAACTCTCTTCCTTCAGGTACAATTGTTAGTACAGACGCTGATATACACTTAGAAGAATATAGCTCAGCTGTTTACTCCTCCTTGTCTCCCCATCAGTAAGTGACTCACAATTTTGGACTCTTCTTTGACATTTCCCTCCTCAGGACAAAATGAGTGGCTGTAAGAGGCCAAGCATGTGAACATACATAAAACGCCTAAATATGAAGGGGGAAAAGTGGCCCATAACCTCTCCTCAGGAATGTTCCCTTTTCTCCCGTTGTGTGGTGGGAACATCAAGGTTCCGTTACTTCTAAGAAGCCGCTCCCATTCAGTTGCTACAGAAGAAATCACTCCTCCAACAAGCGTTCTCTTTTTGTTATGATTTTGAGAAATTAAGGGGAGGGCATACCTGGGTAGTTGCGTTCCTTCTGATTGGCTGGGTCTGTAGCCATCTGCAACTTCTTGCTGGCACCATGGTTGGCAGGTGGTGGCAGCTGTCAGCCACACAGCACCTACACATGGCTGCCCCAGCATGGCAGCCTCAGGCTAGCTGGGTGTTTTATCTTGTGACCAGCTTTTCCTAGACTGGCATTTCAGGAGAGCTAAGCAGTTCCTGCTCTTTGTGACCCCTACTCTGTAGAGCTTCCCGGGGGAGAGACAGTCTACTATTTGATGGGAGAAGTTCAAGTGAATTTTGAAAATGTATTCAAATTGCCATGGGAACATAAAGTTTATGGTTGGCCTGCACCAGCAAAGGCTTTGTGGCTTGACCTTGCCAGTGTCCTCCATCACATTTGGTGTGTGATAGCTGGTTACATCGAGTCCCCCTGGGTTACTTTGGCCCAAACTGAAACCCATAAACAATGGCATAACAAACTGGCTAAGATCCGCTTTGAATAGTCATGATCCATAGCCTGGGAGAGCGTCCCATGGTTCCTTGCCACTGCAGAGAAGGATGTTATTAGACCAAAGGAAATAGCCGGGTGGTGGTGGTGCATACCTTTAATCCCAGCACTCCGGAGGCAGAGGCAAGCGGATCTCTGTGAGTTCGCGGCCAGCCTGATCTACAAAGTGAGTTCCAGGACAGCTAGAACTGTTACACAGAGAAACCCTGTCTTGAAATTTTTTTTAAAAAATTAAAAAAAAGAGGAAACAAATGCCATGGGCTAGGTGACCAATAAGATTTGTCACTGTGCAGGGATTGTCTTGTACCTGATGTGTGGTGCAGAAATCTCTTAGGCACCTAGATGTAGAATTTCCGAGGATATGCATGTTGTGAGACAAAGGATAACAGGTTGCCAAAGACTCCAGTGAGTTTCTCATTTCACTTATTTATCTTTCAACTCTCATTTTCCTTGTAATTTCCACTATCATGGTCTCCTATTTAGTAAGACTAAGGTCTTATTTTCTTTTTGGTTCTCATAACGTAATCCCCTTTAGTTCTTTGATTTAAAGTAGCTGATTAAGTCTTTGTCTAGAGGTCAAGTGTGCTGGTGCACACCTGTAACCCCAGTACTCAGAAGCTGAGGCAGGGGATTGTGAGTTCCAGGTCAGCCTGGGCCAGCAGCCCTTGTCTAGTAAATACAGTGTCTTGGCCTCCTCGAAGGCCATCTGTTTACTTTCTTTTCCCTAGATATTCTCATGTGTTGACGTGTTAAAAACAGCATCTTTATTACAGCATGCTCCAGGAGTCAGTTGTCTCTCTGCTCCCCCACCAGCGTGGCTGTATTTGATGCTGTTTGTGAACTAAGTGATGACTCTGCACTGATTCTGTGAGGTCTAGATTCTTTGTCATGTGCAACGATTGGCATGTTTGCACAGTTAGCGTAGTATTAGCGTAGTGCTCGTGCCCGACTGAAAATTAGACCATTCCCTGAGATCCCTGGATTCCAGCCAGCCTCCCGCTCTTGGTTGCAGGGCTCCGTGGGCACAGTGGGCCATGCCTCCCATGTACAGGAGGGCTGTCTGCAACCATGCCTGAGCCTTCCCATCCGGCATCCAAGAGTGATCATTAGGAATTCCTGGAGGGTTTTCTGAGCACACACATGCACACACACACACACACACACACACACACACACACACACACACACACATACACACACACAGCACTCAGCCTTACACAGTCATATGGCTTCTAGATTCCAGGAATGTTATCAAAGATTTTCAAAACCCTTTGGAATGTCCATGCCCTAGCTTTTTTTGTTTCATTCTTTTCTGGTTAACCCATTGTTTAACAGGTGTAAAATCAAACTACCTCTGAATATTTCTGCCCAGGCTTCTAGCAAAAATGTACTTTGCTCTGGGTGAACTCCCTGTCATGTCGGATAAAGAATAGTTTTGGAAATGGGATTTGTTCTTCCTGTTCTAAATTTTGCCACAATTCTTCATATTGTGGTTCACTCTTTCATCCTATGTGGCAATAAGAATGTCCTTCTAATATACACAGTCATGTTTGAATTCTGAAAAACACTCTCATGTGTAAACTCTGAACATACTACTAACCTGCCATCCTCTGGTTGTGCTGGGGGCTCTCAGCACTCCTCGTGTTGTTAAGCAGTATCTGTACATTTATTTGTTCTTATGTTCTCTGTGGCTGATTCCGGGTAATTCTCATTCTCTCTCTCTCTCTCTCTCTCTCTCTCTCTCTCTCTCTCTCTCTCTCTCTCTCTCTGTGTGTGTGTGTGTGTGTGTGTGTGTGTGTGTGTGTGTGTGTGCGCACGCGCATGCATGCTTTGGAGGTCAGAGCTGACTGTCCACCCTGTTTTTTTTTAAAAAACAGAGTCTATCACTAGTCTGGAGCTCACCAAATGGGCTAGACTGACTGACTCTTAAACCCCAGGGCTCCACCTATCTCTTCCCACTTAGGGCTTGGATTAGACACATGTGCACTCATGCACACACACATACACACACACACATACACACACACACACACACACACACACACACACACACACACACACACACCACCACACCTGGTTTTTTTTTTAACATGGCTTCTGGGAACCAAACTCAGCTCTGCCTGGGTGGATTCCAGTTCACTAATGTTCTCTTCAACCATATTTGTGTATATAATCTTTTTTGTTTCTCGAGCATATTTTTCAGGGTCAGTGTATCAGTGACAGAGTGTTTTCCTGTCATGAATGAGGCTGAGGGGTCTAAGCCTAACCTCTACAAAACACACATGCCGTATCTCACAAAATAAATCAAATTGGATTTATTTCTGTGTTTTTCATAATTTTTATTCTTTGGGGGAGGTTCTTTGGTGTTTTGGGGGGCTGTTTTTTGTGGGGGAGGGTTGAGACTGGGTCTCACTATGTACCCCTGAGTGGCCTGGAACTTACAGAGACTTGCCTGCCTCTGCCTGCAGTGCTGGGTTTGAAGATGTGCGCCCTCCAGCCCTGTTTATGTCATTGTGAGGTCTCGTCAGGTATTCTTAGTTCCTCCAGTTGACACACTACCTACAGCTCCTCCACATTGGGAATACAGAAGGTAATTCAAAAGTGAATGTCCTAAAGTATCTTGAACAGAATTCTGCTTTTGAAGAAAAGAAATCAACCAAAACTCTTAGATCATCAAATGATGAGATTGATTTTTTTTATTTTTAAATCTTATATGATAAAAGAGCTCACACAGGGCTGGGGAGATGGCTCAGCAGTATAAGCATCTGTTGCTGTTGCAGAGGAACCAGATTCAATCCGTAGCACCCTCACGGTGGTTCACAATCATCATAACTCAAGTTCCAGGAGATCCAGTGCCTTTTTATGGTCTCTGTGGACACCAGGCATGTGTGTGGTACACAGACATATATACGAGTAAAACACCCATGCATCCAAAATAAAATAAATCTTAAAATTTGTTTTAATCTCATGTAATACATGCTGTCTGAGGGTTTGATCAGGAAGGTGTTAAGTGGAGGTCAAGAAGTTGCTATGCATCTTGTTGCTGGACAAACCATGCCTTAGTCTAGGTTGCTTCAAAGTAAAAGCTTAGGCTGGCAAGATGGCTCAGTAGGTAAAGGTGCTTGCCACTTAGCATGATGACCTAAGTTCAATCCCTGGAACCCACACAGTATAAGGAGAGAATTGACTCCTACAAATTATCCTCTGACCCCACACTTGACATGAGCCCATACACACAACATACAATAACGGTGCAAATTGTGTCTTTTCTCATCTAATTTCCCGTTTTAGACACCTGTTCTCCTCCACGATCATAGAAAAGTTCACTCAGGACTATCTGTGGCTCTCCGTTGCAACTAGACATCCCTGGAACCAGTTTACAAGAGTCCAGCGGCTCTCTTGCTGTATGACACTACTTCTCTGTGACATGGTCATCAATGTTATGTTCTGGAAGATGGGTGGTACCACTGCCAAGAGGGGTGAGCATGAGCCCTGAGGTGTGCTGTCTGCAGTGGGGAATATTTTGGCTGTCTTTCCCTCTTTAAGGGTTAGGAATCGAGTCATGGTGTGCCCTCATTTCCCTGTCCACTGCCCTGATATTATATGCTAGCACATTCTCTTCATGCTCTCATTGATAAATAAAACTGTCTTAGGAACATACCAGGATCTTTACTGCTGTGGAACACTTTCTACCTCCAGATAAGTTCCCACGTTAAGTATCTCTAACCCAGGAGGGTGGAAGCTGACACCATGCTTTTCTTTCAGTAGGTCCATTTGCTGTGACCTGGTCAGAGATACTCATCAGCGTCCAGACTGCCATCATCCTCTTCCCTATCCATCTTGTCTTTGGGCGGCTCTTCCAGCTGATTCACCCACCAGAAACTCTGCCCCCACTTCCTCCCACCCAGGCTGCCTGCCCCTTGGGTCTTGCTTATGAATCTCCCTCTCCTACACAGGTGGTCACGGTAAGCTTCAGATCTAATTTTGATATGTGAAGTGCCTTCCCCCTTCTGTGTGGTGGGAGTCATGGAGGACTCCTTGAGATGCTCACAAGGAATGAGCCCTGGTCCCTTTTATGTCTTTCCCCTAAGTCCTGTCCACTGATTTGTGCTCAGTCATACTCTTAGCTTTCTTCCAAGGTTATGAACTGTTCTGGAGACTGAGTGTGGGGCTGTGGGGAGCCCACCCCCACTTTTTCCCCCGGGGTACTCTTGAGCCAGGAGGAGTGGGAAATATTTAGATAGAAATATAGAGGAGAGAGACAGAGCAAAAGACCTTCCCCTAGCACAGCCAAGTGCAGTCCCTTCCAAACACCTGGTAACCATGCACCGGGTCAATCCTTCCTCTTATGTAACCCTGATGTGTAAAGCAAGCTCAGATCTCTCTAGGAAACCTCTGTGGACCCCAACATGGGGGAACACATACTACCCCGGAGCTGTTTTAGTTTTCCATGTTTGAGCAAACTGTCCCTCTTCCATTCTATAGTCTCTGATAGAAATGGTTTTGAAGGCACTGTGGGGTGACTCTTCTCTGAAAACATTAGAAAATGAAGCACTGGGTTTCTTTATGCTAAGATGTGCCCTTGACTGAAAGAAACAGGCTAGCCATCTGTAATTGTGTCCAGTGCTGCATTGTAAGACAGACTGAAGCCTCTCAACTCGGTTCCATATCCAGGAATTAAAGGAAACTGTGGGATTCCTGCTCAGGAGAAACACACATCTGCTCTCGGAGTGTGAACAGTCTTCATGGAGTTCCTGTGATATTAACAAGCTGGTGACGCTTTTCTCCAGCCTCATTTATTCTCACTTAGGAGATCAAGGCTGCCACCAGCAGACAGAATCCCGATGGGAAGACGGTAAAGTCCAGTGATTTTAGTAATGCTTCTAGCATCGCCTCCACTCCCATGCATCCCCTTCAGTTCTTAGTCATTTTTGCCTTTCAGCACAAGGCAATTTATGCTTATTTAATTTCCTTAAGCTTTCAGTCTTGGACCGTTAGCTTTGGTCTCTTGACTTCTAGATAATCTTGTGATAAAACTACAGTACTAATTATAAAAACGTAAAAATATTTAGATCCCATATTCCACCAACTGAACCTGTCATGTCATCTTTTTCTTCCCTTGAGTGGCGAGGATGCGTGATTTATGAATTTTGAATCCAGTTTGGACGCTTGCTAGTCTATCTAGGCTGCATGTACTAGTCTATCTAGTACTGGAGCTTATGTGGGAAAGCTCAGTAAAGTTTTAAAAGTGTGTGGGTCAAAGTTCAGAACTGTACAATGGTGAGATGGGTCTGCACCCTCGGGGGGAGTAGTACTACAGGTGCTGGAGCCTATCTCCATCAGTCCTGGGAAACGTTAGCTTTACTGTCACCTAATAAATTACTCATCTCCATCACTGATCCCCGTTTATTGAAATCTCCCATTTGTGAACATGTCCACCTGAACTAAATCCGCAGTCGTTTCTGAAAACCACCACCATTTCTGCCGCTACCTGCTCCAAGTTCTACAGAGACTGAACTCGCACCTAAGTGAGCTCAGTGCTGCTCGGGTTCACCAGCCCTATGACTTCTCAGAAGCAGTTAGCCAACTTCAAAAGCTCCACGAACTCCTGGAAACACAACTTCTTCCCAGGGAGCAAGGGTCCTGCAGGTAAGCACTCTGGGCTCTTGTCACTACCCGTAAGCTTTCTCTTGGTGTCTAGCCAGAGATGAATCCTTCAATTTCTATTCTTCAGGCACTCAACCAGTTTCCCCATCCTAAGCCCGGAAGAAAGGAAGGTGCCTGTGTCCTTCGGCCTGTTCAAATGGTTGAAGTACATCTGCTGGCTCCTCCTAGGTGTCGTTAGCCTGGCTTCGGCTTTTTTTGTAACACTTTATAGCTTGGAGTTGAACAAAGACCAAGCCACCAGCTGGGTTATTTCGATGATGCTCTCGGTGCTTCAAGACATCTTTGTCAGCCAGCCACTAAAGGTATGTGAAGAGTGGGACAGACCACTACAATTGTAGGAAGCTGGAGAAACTGAGGCCGTGTGTGTAAACCGGAGTGTTTTGAAAGTTAGTAAATAAATCAACAGGCAGAGTGATATTTGTTAGGGATCTATGTTAAGCAGCAACAGAAAATGACTAGCAACTAATAGATTAGCATACATACGGCAAAAAAAAGTTGAAGATGGGGCAGTTTTTAAAAATCAAACAGTGTGGCCAGGCGTTGGTGGCACATGTCTTTAATCTCAGCACTCGGGAGGCAGAGGCAGATGGATCTCTATGAGTTCAAGGCCAGACTGGTCTACAGAGTGAGTTCCAGGTCAAACATTGTGGTTGATGAAATGGCTCAGCAGGTAAAGACACTTGCTGTCTGAAACTTAAGTCTAACGACTTAAATTTGATCCCAGGAACCCACATGAAGGTAGAGAGAGAGAGAACCAGCTCCATGAAGCTGTCCTCTGACTCCCACAAGTATTGCATAACATGCACACACACGATGGTAATAACAATATCAATAACAATAAAACAATGACGATAACTTTTAAAAACCAACCACAAACCACTTTTTTAAAGGAACAGAATTGGGGCAAGAAAGATAGTTCAGCAGTTAAGAGCACTGGCTGCCTTTGCAAAGGACCCAGGTTTGATTCCCAGCACCCACACGGTGGCTCACAGATGTCCATAACTCCAGTTGCAGAGGATGTGGAACTTTTTTCTGACCTCTGTGGGTACCAGGCATGCAAGTGGTATACATACATAAATGAAGGCAAAACACTCATACACATAAAATAAATAAATCTTTAAAAATTTTTAAGGAACACATAAAGATTTAAATTTTTAACTAATGAAAAGTCAAAGAACATCAAAGTATGGAAAATAACATAATGAAGTCTCAAGTCTCTTACCTAGCATCAAAAATTACCAGTGATGGCCAACATTGTTTCATCTGTTCTGAAAAAGAAAATTCCAAAGTTCACATGACTTTCGTCTGTCTAGCTCTAAAATTTGTATTTCTCTAAAACTTGAACTTTTTAAAACATAAAATCATGACAACGTGTAAATAAGTTAACAGCTTCTTAACATGAGAATGCCCACACAAGGAGCTGGTCAGGTCACTCGTCAGTAAAGGAACCTGAGTTTGATCCCTGGACCCTACATGGTAGAAGATGATAACTGACTCTGGGAAGTGATCCTGATCTCCACAGGGATGCCATGGCTACACGATAATATAAATGTATAAATGAACGGGACAGGGCTGGAGAGATGGCTCAGCAGTTAAGAGCACTACTACTACTACTTCCAGAGGTCCTGAGTTCAATTCCCAACAACCACATGGTGGCTCACAACCACCTGTAATGAGATCTGGTGCCATCTTCTGGACTGCAAGGACATGTGCAGACAGAATACTGTATACATAATAAATAAATAAATAGATAAATAGATAGATAGATAAATAAATAAATAAATAAATAAATGCATAAATAAATAAATAAATAAATGCATAAATAAATAAATAAATAAATAAATAAATAAATAAATAAATAAATAAATAAATAAATAAATAAATAAATAAATAAATAAACGGGACATACTATGAGTCTCCACCCTCACCTGTATGTGTGACATTATCGTCTGGGGCCTTCCAGTACCTGCTCATGGAGTTCCCCCATGCCTCTTGTCTCCAGGTGACATTCCTCACATTCCTGCTCTCACTGACAGCGAACCAGACGCCATGGCTTAACAGAGACAAGGAACAACACGCCAAGAGAATCGTAGCACTTTGGGGTAATTCAAATCTTCCCAGCTACTGTTTAATTTTACAAAGACCAAACCATATAAAAACAGTAGAATTCGAGCTACCTCAGATTCCAGTTTACTCAGAGGCCTTGTCACTTGGCTGATCTCCGCCCAGAGAGCCCAGTGTCACAAACTCACATTCCCCTGGAAACCAGTGCTTCCATGTCTCTCTCCTCCCTGAGCCCCAGACGGCACTTGTACTGCCTGTCATCTCTACCTGAATGCCTTCAGTTGTCTCAGACGGAGCTGCCCGCCTGCCCCACAAATCCACTCTTCTGTATTTTCTCATTTCTGTCAGGTGGCCTCACCCCGCAACGCTCTACACATCAGAGTAATCCTAGGTACTCTAACTCCCCACGCTCAGTCACCAAGTCTGAGGGGCCTTTTTACAGCCTGTAAAAATCTGACTGAAGTTACTCACGTCACCTGGAGGAATGTTACACACACAATGCTGAGGCAAAACTGTAAGACATCACCTGGAGGAATGTTGCACACACAATGCTGAGGCAAAACTGCAAGACTCAAAGATGCTAGCACGATGTTATCCGTGTGTTGGCTAGAGCAGGTGTGTGTATCCCCTGTAAATGTTTCTGTAAATGCTGAAGAAACAAACAGGAATAATCTCTAAAACTCAGGAAAAGCTTACCTCTCTGAGGGAAGGAAGGGGTACGACATGGAGGAGAACGTGGTGGACCCAAAGCTAGTAATCGCCTGCTTAAACTCAACAGTGGACATGCTAAAGGCGAGGCATTCCATTCCTAGTGAGGTTTTACAAATTAAAAACTCTCACTTGAAATGCCTTTCTTGTCTTCATTTCATTTCTTATGCATTTGAACTGTTTTCTTTATGTGAAGTGACTTCTTTTTCAAAGGTCTTGTCCTTGTCCCTCTGAAGATCTGTGACCTGCCCTTAAGACATGTGTTGTGTGGGTATAGTTCAGGGCGAGAGTGCTTGCTGGCATACAAAAGGCCCTGAAGTGTGAGTCCCAGCACCAAAAAGAAAAGTCAAATACCAATTCCTCTATGACACCATCTTCAACTTTCTTTGGAGAGGTTTTGTTTATTTTCCAGTGATGGTTTCGTATTTTGTATACTGGTGAGTTTTCTTCGATTTCCCCTCTCTCTGTCTCTTTCCCTACCTCAATCCCTAGCCTTCCCTTTTGCTATAAATCCTACATTCTTCTGTTCTGTATAGTCTTTAGAGCAGACCATTGTCCCTTCCTGGATTCGTTAGCGATGCTCAGTGTGGGACTTTATCCCTGAATCTGCATTGAGAAGAAGCCCAGGTGATGTCTATGCATGTTAAACTTGAGAACAATGTTCCCAAAGTGCACTCCCCTGAGTAGAAGCCCAGGTCTCTAGTTCAAGATAGAAGAATACAGCGGAATAGTTTGTGCCTACTGAATCTAATGTTTATGATGAAAAGGCTAGGGACAAGCTCAATAGAGCACTTGTCTGACGTGTGTGAGGTGCTGCACTGGATTCCCAGCACTGAGAGAAAACCCTTACCAATGGGTGGTGGTGGTGCCTGCCTGTAATTGCAGCATCGGGGAGGCTGAGTTGGAGAAGATCATCCATGTGAAGCCAGCCTGGGATGTTTCTGACAACAGAGACATTGTCAGAAAAGGGGGGCAGGGAGAACATGCTAGGGTTTGTTTCGTGTGGTACCAAGGTTCATGCATGTTAGACAAGCACTCTACAGCTCAGCTATGCACCCATCCTTGTGCTATGCGGTGATATATTGTTTACCCTCATAAAATTTGCCTGAAGATCAGAGAACAGAACAAGCCTCTAAATTAAACACAGAGGCCAGGCAGTGGTGGCACACACCTTTAATCCTAGCACTTAGAGGCAGAGATCCATCTGGATCTCTTGGAGTTCAAAGCCACGCTGGACTACATGAGATTGACTCAGTCTAGGAGAGAAACAGATCCAGGAAGTGGTGGCACACACGTTTAATCCCAGCACTAAGAAGGAAGTAATATGGCTAGGTAGAGAAAGGTATATAAGGCGTGAGGAGACAGGAACTAAAGCCCTTTTCAGCTGAGGAGCTTTTTTGGCTGGAGACCTTTCGACTGAAGACTCAGAGGCATTCAGTCAGAGGATTCGTGGAGTTGGCGAGGTGAGATGTGGCAGTAGCTTGTTCCTTTGTCTCTCTGGTGTTCAGGCAAATTTTATTAGGGTACACAATATATCACCACAGTACTGAATTTCATTTTTCTAGTAACCAATTTTTATTATCTTTTATAAGTTTGGGCCCCAGTGGGTTGGGAGTTTAAGAAGGAAAACCCAGGCCTTTCCCCCATAGATAGAGATGTGTTGCTTAGACAACATTTTATCTGCCCCTCCAACATTCAACAGGAAATGCTCATGGTAGACGCTCAACAAAACATAATGAAATGTAACATTTATTTGGCCTATATTTCAATATTTGACAGCAAAGTGTTCTTCATCAGCACCTGGTTTGAGAGATAAGAACAATCCCATCTATACTGCCCCAGCAATGACCAGCTTGGCCAAGCACCCAAAGACAGCCTGGAAGAAGCAGCTCTTCAAGCTGACTGGTGGTACTCTGGGTATGAAGGGGTGGTAGCAGCATGCACCTCTGTACACACTGGCCAGCAGGGAGGGCAGGGGAGAATCAGATGGAAGACAGGGGAGGGCAGAAAAGTGTCTTTGAAAATGAAATTTAGAATTCCAGCAATGCAGGTGATGTGATCAATGGGAAGAGCCCCGAGCTTCCAGTCCTCACGTCTTACCGAGGTGGAGTTAGAGGGCTCCACCTGCCAAGGGGAAACAAGACACAACTTACATACTCTCTGGACTGGGGGAGAAATGAAATTGCTTTGGAAAATGGTTCTTCTAAGTGCTGGGTTTAACATACTCAGTACACTACTGGCCCCCCTGAACCAAAGAACAGAAAACGATGACTGTTATTGTTCTTTTCTTTTCTTTTCATGCCTTTCCTTTTGTGAAGCCAGAATGTGAAGGAGCATTTATGTCTAAGAATCAAAATACAGTATAAACACGTGGGATCTTATGAGTCATGAGTTAAATTTCTGATTATTGACAGGATGATTCTGGAAAAGAAATATATATATAAAACATATGTATATATTTCTGTGTGTGTGTGTGTGTATGTGTGTGTGTGTGTGTGTGTGTGTGTGTGTGTGTGTGTGTGTACGTGTGTGTGTGTGTGTGTGTGTGTGTGTGTGTGTGTGTGTGTTCATACCCATTGGGTTGAACTATTTGAAATTGCCCATCTCAACTCCTGGATTTTTTGGTTTTTGGTTTTTTTCGGTTGGATGGTTTTTGGCTTTTTTGAGACAGGGTCTCGTTATGTAGCTCTGGCCATCCCGGAACTTACTCTGTAGACCAGGCTGGCCTCACAGAGATCCACCTGCCTTTGCCTGCCAAGTGCTGGGATTAAAGGTTGTGTCATTATGCCCAGCTCCATTTTGACTGTTTTTGACCTGCAAAAGTCTGTAAGTGCAAGAAAAATGAAAAGGTTTAGATTTCTAAAGTAACGCGCTCAGATGATTTTTTTTTTTTGGTTGTAAACCAGTCCAGATCCTCTTTCTGAGCCTGCTAATGGCTACTGTCTACTCTGCAAGGGACTCCAGTCAGTTTTTCCTCCATCAAGCTATCTGGAAGAGGTTTTCTCACCGTTTATCAGAAATCAAACTTCTGGAAGATTTCTACCCATGGGCCAACCACACCCTCCTTCCTAGCCTATATGGGGATTACAGAGGTAAGGACAGTTCTGGGGCAGACGGGAGGTACGAGACCTCTACTACAACCCATGGAAAACTAGAGAAAGGTCAGTCAGCTTCTCAATGGGCCACACCTCTGTGGACACTGCAAGACGCTAGACTCCATCCAAGAAGCTTCAGTTAACGACTCATGGTGATCCGTGGAGTCTGATTCCCAATGGTGCATGACACAGGAATCAGCACTGATTCTCGTACAGCATAAAAGTAACTGCAGGGACCCTGGGACTCAGCCACACCCTGAGTACAGGAATGTGGTCTAATAAGAATGGTCTTTACATGGGATGGGCTTTTGGCCACGTGTGCCATTTTTCCAGGCTCTCTGACTGTGTGTAAGTTGTCTGTGTGCTTACCCAGTTTAGTCCCACAAACATGCATTGGATATCTACAGTCTGCAGGGACCTTTCCTAGGAGCTGACTTAAAAAAAAATCAGTGCCAGGCAATGGTAGCACATGCCTTTAATCCCAGCACTCAGGCAAAGGCAGGCAGATTTCTGTGAGTTCAAGGACAGCCTGGTCTAAGAACCAGGACAGCTTCACAGAGAAACCCTATCTTGTGGGGAAAATGGTCAATGGTCATAATGAGATCTATGTCCTCAAAGAACCTCAAAAAGAAGCATTGCCAAGCTTTATCCTGCAGCATGTACAAAGACACTTCTTATTCACTGTGGTTTGGGTTGTTGCCAGTTACCCAGCTTTGCCATGACATAACTTTGTGGCCTGCTGAGTAAGCTGAATTCTGGGAATCATCATTTCCATCTACCTCAGGGTTGGTGGCTTCATGGTGAGATTCAGGACATCGCCTATGTTCCTGAAGAGAAACTGAAGGATATGTTCATCTTAGCAAGCATTTTCAGTCTCCTGCCAGTGCGCTGGGTGTGTGAGCGTTCTTACAGAAGGCAACTCCTACTCGTTGTATGGTGATTTTTTTTTCAAGTACAGTTTTGGATGACAACAGTTTTAGGCTCAGGGAACATTCTATTTGTAATACATAACTCTATGCTGAATAAAATATTGACAAAATGATTAGAAGCCAAGATGGCAAAAGTAGAGGTCATAGAGGGGCTAGTCTCCTCTTGGCCTCCTTGGCTGCAGTATAGCACCACAGGATAGGGTATGGCACCACAATATGGGGTTTAGCACCACAGTATAAAGAGCAGACTGAGAGCCTGATCAGTGTGGAATCCTGGGTAGATTTCTCAACCTTTGCTCTGGATTCCTCCATTCAATGGGAAGAATCTCAGGCCCTGTCCTATATGACAGATCTGAGTACTCAGAATAAATAATGTCTGCACATGGTACTGACAGAGGAAGCGCTGACTGTCACCCCTGGGGAAACAGAGCTTTGCCATACTGCTACCAGTAATGGACAGACCTCAGGATGAAGATAACAAGCATGCCACAGATGGTCTTTATAATCCTGGCAATCGGGAGGTAGAGTCGGGATCTGAGGCTACTATGCAAGACTTCGTTTTAAAAAGAAATCTGTCGATGAAATTCTAAATGGTCTTATTAAATAAGGAACACAGAGCCAAATGCAGAGTTAAAAGCCCAGAAATCAGAGCAGTAGTCAAGACCTAAGTCCACCTTATTTTACCACTCACTGCTGTCCTTCCCCTGAGAGAGAGACCTTCTTCCGGTGTCCTGTCTTTTTATTGCCTTTCTGTTCTGCCTTCTCATTGGCTCTAAACCCAACCACATGACTTCCTTGTCACTGCCTGTCTATACAGACCTCCAGGTCTCTATGGTTGGTACTGGGATTAAAAGTTGAGGTCACCTTACTTTGGATGTGTCCTTGACCACAGAGATTCTGCCTGCCATGTGATCGGATTAAGGGCGTGTGCTACCACCACCTGACTCCCGCTTATGGCTGGCTGTGACTTCTGATCTCCAGGCAACTTTATTTTTTTTTTTTTTTTGGTTTTTCGAGACAGGGTTTCTCTGTGTAGCTTTGCGCCTTTCCTGGAACTCACTTGGTAGTCCAGGCTGGCCTCGAACTCACAGAGATCCGCCTGGCTCTGCCTCCCGAGTGCTGGGATTAAAGGCGTGCGCCACCACCGCCCGGCCTCCAGGCAACTTTATTAACATGCAAATAAAATCACATTTCAGCACAAATAAAATATCACCATAGAAACCCAGTCCAGTAGGCACAGTGTGAAAAGCAGTTAAAAATCAACACTAGCATGTTTTACTCACTCAGCTCTTAAAAATCATTGTTTTCAAAACTGCTGCAGGCCAGTCTCATCTGTTTTTTATTTCATGTGTGTGTGCTGCCTATGTGAAAGCATGTGTACTGTGTGTGTGCAGGAGTCTGTGGTGGTCAGAAGGTGTTGGATCCCTGGAACTGGAGTTACAGGTCGTTGTGAGCCACTGTGTGGGTGCTAGGAATTGAATCTGGGTCCTCTGCTAGGGCAGCAACTCCTCTTAAACACTGGGCCATTTTTCTAGTCCTGATATATACAGTTTTTTGAAGCGTTCATCTAATTATTCTTTACCAATAAAAAATCGGGAGTCAAATATGGGGTAAGAACCTGAATGACCAGAGAAGCAGGGGAGCAGCCACCAGTGACTTCCTACCTCTTCTATCCCTCCCTCAAAAGGGCCAAGATCCCCTCTCAGCCCCACCTTACCACTTCCCATCTCCTATCTGTCTACAGTCCTCCAAACCTCTATGGTTAATTTTGATCAGCTAGTGGCTAGCTCCTCCCTCTGACTCCAAGCAACCTTTATTTGTCAGAACACAATCATAATAGCACACAACAGTTTTCTAATTTATTTTTATGAATGTACCACATGTGTGCAAGTATCACTCGACTTGGGTGCTGGGAACCAAATTCAATCTTCTGGAAGAATAATAAGTGCCCTTAACTGTTGTGCCATCTCTCCAGCCTCCTACATTTTTTTTCAAGGCAGGGTTTTTCTGTGTAACTGTTCTGTCTGTCCTAGAACTCACTCTATAAACCAGGCTGGCCTCAAACTCACAGAGACCTGCCGGCCTCTGCCTCCCGAGTGCTGGGATTAAAGGCGGGCAGTACCAGTGCCCGCACGTCCTACATTTTTTTTTTTTTTTTTTTTTTTTTTTGGTTTTTCGAGACAGGGTTTCTCTGTGTAGCTTTGCGCCTTTCCTGGAACTCACTTGGTAGTCCAGGCTGGCCTCGAACTCACAGAGATCCGCCTGGCTCTGCCTCCCGAGTGCTGGGATTAAAGGCGTGCGCCACCACCGCCCGGCTATGTCCTACATTTTTAACTTTAAAAAAGATATTGCCAGGGCGGGAGAGTTGGCTCATGAGTTAAGAGCACTTATTGCTCTTGGAGAGGACCCAGGTTCAATTACTAGTACCCACAACTGTCTGTACTCCAGTCTCTGGGAATCTGACACCCTCTTCTGACCTCGGGCACCAAACATGCATGTAGTATACATACGGACATGCAGGCAAACACTCTAACAATAATAAGCCTAAAATAAGTATTGCCAACTGAATGTGATGGGTCATATCTGAAACCCTGGCAGTTGGGAAGTAGAAGCCAGCCTGGGCTACATACTGAAACTATCTCAAAACAAAACAAAAGAAACAAGGCCTTGGGATGTAGAGTAGTGGTCAATCATCAGCACTGAAAAACAGTGTTTCCAGATTGCTCTGTGTCAATAAGTAATCCTATCAGCAAAGTACCAGAGTTGCCCACGCCCGCAGCCTCATAGTGAAAGCATTTCCAAACTCTACAACAGGCTCTGGAACAGTACAAGACTTTGCAGCCCGCACTCAGAAGAGAAATGTAAGTTAGAACTAAACCAAGGCCCCATTTTTCACCTTCGTAAAGACGACCCTTTCTCCATTCTTCATCTCTACATATTTAAATCATAAAGCTGTGAGTCCACTGTTCAAAATCTCCCGGCAGAGACATTTAGAATAAATGTCAAATCCCTCTGGTTGACAAGGGCCTGCTCCGCCCAGCCCTGACCTACATCCTTCACCTCATCTCTTCCTCCTCTAACCCCCATGTGCTCCCCCACAGCCACTGATGCGCCTGTCACTTTCATTAAGTACATCAATCACGCCATCACCTTGGGAGTCTTAGAACTTGCTGTCCCCTGCTGGCATCTACATTATGCTCTGTTGGGTCTCTCCCTTCCCTCTCCACCAGAGAAACTTCCCTGCCATCCTAAGAGCACTGTCGCTCCTCACAAACACTGCTTCCTGACACCTGAATATGGTGGGCTGCCTGTCCTGGGTCCTCACCTGTGAGCTCTCGGTGGGTGGGAACGCCCCTGCATCCACCGTGTGTTCCCGGCATCTAGAACAGGGCTCCGTCAGTGTCAGCACAGAAAGTGTGCTGCTGAGGAATGAATGGGTGTCTAGTTTTCCATCTTTTGTTAGGTTTATCTTTGGGGTTCCTGTTTAAATGAGATAGTCTATTCCTGCCCCTGTTGTAAGGGGTATAGCTAGATGAATACTATTAGTTTGTGCCAAGTAACCCCAATAAATTATCATTTTTAAGTTAATACAACTTCCATTGATCCTCTTAGTTTATCTAGATAATACATATCATTTACAAATTGGCACACAATTTCATTTGTTTTTATACTTTTTGTCTGACTGCATTAGTTTATGTCTCTAAATGTTTTCAAAATTGCCAATGAAGTGTACTTGGATTGTCTCATTCAGTTAGCAACAAGACAATTTTTTAATTGTTTCTTTTACTTTCTCACTAGGATTTATTACTGATGGGAACTCCTTTCTTCTGGGCAATGTTTTGCTTCGCCAGATTCGCATCCCTAATGACACACTCTTCCCGGTATCTCTCCGTGAACAAGTGACCTCACGTCCCCAACATCAGGAGGACAGAGAGAACTACGGGGTTGGCTGGGGCCCCCCTGATACAAACATCACAGAAACAGACAGTATTTGGCATTATCAGAATCAGGAGTTACTGGGAGGCCATCCCACCCAAGGGGAATTTGCCACTTACTCAGGAGGAGGATACATTGTGAGACTTGGAAGAAACTCCAGTGCCGCAGCTAGGTGAGTCTGTGGCCTGGACAAGAGGCCCATCACAGGACAGCTAGGAATGTGGGCCCAGCTGAGATGTTCCAACAGCTATTGTAATGTTTCTGTACTGTCTCTGGTACTTATACACACTTCTGTTTTACACTTCTAAGGGAATATACCATGGTTTTTTATTATTATTATTATTTGGTGTATATGGGTATTTTGCTTGCACAAATGTCTGTTCACCACATGTGTGCAGTGCCCTCAGAGGCCAGAAGAGAGTGTTGGATGCCCTAAGACTGGAGTCACAGACAGTTGTGAGCTGCTATGTGGCTGCTAGGAATTGACCCTGGGTCCTCTGGAAGAACAGCCAGTGCTCTTAACCACTGAGCCATCACCCCAGCCTCTGGAACTACACCTTTAAATTTAAAAATTCCTTGGTCAACTTCAAGTTATAAATATGTTTTGTTTTGTCAATTTGAAAAAAAAAGACTGTTTTTAATCTGAAAAGAGATTTTAGTTTCAATTCTAGGGGTAGCTGAACTCAGGTGAGTCTGTCTGTCTTAGACACACTGTGATCTTCAAATATAAATGGAAACATTAGCCTCTGTGAACTGTGATGTACACATCAACCCAAAGTTCAAACACCCAAACTGAATTGCCAAGGATTTACAGAGTAATTTAATACATGAATCCTGAGAGTCTTTGTCATTGCGCATGAAAAAAGTCTAAATTAAAATAATTATTTTCTGCCAGGCAGTGATAGCGCACGCCTTTAATCCCAGCACTCAGGAGGCAGAGTCAGGCAGATCTCTGTGAGTTCGAGGCCAGCCTGGTCTACAGAGCAAGATCCAGGACAGGCTCCAAAGCTGCACAGAGAAACCTTGTCTCAAAAAAAATTACTATTATTATTATTATTATTATTATTTTCTGAGCAGGCAAAATGACTCAGCAAGTAAAGATGCTTGCCTCTCAGCATGATGGCCTGAGATCAATCCCTAGGTCCCCCAGAATAGGAGAGAACTGACTTCTTCAAGTTGTCCTCTGCCCTCCACATATTCACCATGACATACACATACCCCCAATAAATGTAACAATATTTTTTTCATTCAAACTACTACATCATGAATTTATTTTTATTTTCATAAAGTAGGTCAGTATTACACTGGGAACAATTACATGATATAAAAAGTTATGGACTAATTATAAGGTGATCTCCAAAAGCATTTGTCAGTCAAATATCACCTAAGAATAGACATGTAAAAAGATTATATATAACTACAAATAATAGCACATATTCTCTTTCACAACATCAGGAAACTATAATATGCTTGCCTAATTTTACCTACACATACAAACACATTAGGAAGTCTGTATATACACTAGAGAAATAAACATAAATAGGAATATGATTTATAGTTCTGCTGTAGAAAGGCTCTTATTCTAAATAGACAGGCATATAGATGAATAGATAATGATCATCCCACAGGAAACCTGAGTATGAAATTTACTGATGCTTAAGGGGAGACAGGGGGTGCTGTCAAAATGTAACAATATTTTAATATAAAACTTGTTTCAAGTAATTGCTCAAAAACAATATCAATCAAATAATGGCATTTATACTTCTACACTTCTTTCACCTTTTGGTACTAGATAGATGTTGGTGAGGAATATTTAATGTTTCAAATAGTAGTTGATGGAATTTATGAAATTAATCCTGCCTTACAGATTAAATGTCAAATAGTGTTTCCTCAGTCTCTAACCATGGTGTGACTACAACTGTGAACGTCTTGTTTCTTAGTTAACCATCCATGTTACCACCATGAGAGTTTGGGTGTTACAAGTCATGAAGTATTTTATAGGAACACTAGATCAAGGAATGTGGCTTCTCGTGGGGTCTGTGACAGTGCCAGGTTACTGTCCTCCACTACAACATTGGATGGAGAAAGTAGCTGGCTCCATTTCCCTGTGTCTCCAGAGTTCTGCAGCATCTGGAGCAGAGGCGCTGGCTGGATCACTGCACGAAAGCCCTCTTTGTGGAACTCACAGTCTTCAATGCTAATGTGAATCTGCTCTGTGCGGTGACCCTCATTTTGGAATCCAACAGTGTGGGTATGGAGGCCTCCTCTCCTTGCTCTGCAACCTGGCTATCTCAGGACAAGGCCTCCTTTACTGATCATATACCATTCATTCAAGTAGATTTAATTAGAATGATTACTCAGATGTATGATCTTTTTTTTTTTTTTTTTTTTTTTTTTTTTTTGGTTTTTCGAGACAGGGTTTCTCTGTGTAGCTTTGTGCCTGTCCTGGAACTCACTTGGTAGCCCAGGCTGGCCTCGAACTCACAGAGATCCGCCTGGCTCTGCCTCCCGAGTGCTGGGATTAAAGGCGTGCGCCACCACCGCCTGGCCTGTATGATCTTTTTTAAGTCAAATAGTTCAACTAACGGCCTGTCTACCTCCTACTTCCCAGAGTAGTTTTAACTGGTATTCAATTTTTTTATTACTTTTAAAATTTTTTTTATATTATTTGGGGTATTTTTTTGAGACAGGGTCTCTCTACAAAGCCCTGGCTCTCCTGAAATTTGCTATGTAGACCAGGCTCTCCTCAAACTCAGAGAGAGCTCACTCTCTTTCTGTCTTCTGAGTGCTGGGATTAAAAGCATGGATCACCATGCCGGGCTTTCCAATTTTTTAAAGTGTTGTTTATTCATGAATTCCCAGTTTTAAGTGTCACTCTTTCTATGAAGAGGATTTAGCTTTTATACTCATATATATCCCTAACATGTGCACACCTTTCATCTCCCATTGTTTTCTTTCTTGTCTTCATTCTGAGTGTCCACATTGTCATAGCAGCATCTCACAGATAACCGGATACTAACTGGTAGTTTCCTTTATGGGAAGTCTGCCTGACCCTCTCCCTCCCTCCTTCCTCTCTCCCCTAGAACCGACTTACAGGTCCTCCCATTAGCCACTGTGTACTGCTTTTAACTGGGAGCTTTTCCCTCCCAGACCAGCAGAACAAGCAGCTTCCACCCTTCTCTCTAAACCAGTGGTTCTCAACCTTCCTAGTCCTGCGGCCCTCGTGTTAATACAGTTCTTCATGTTGTGGTGACCCCCAACCCTAAAACTATTTCACTGATACTTCATAACTGCAATTCCACCACTGCTAATAAATCATAATGTGAATATCTAATATACAGGATATCTGATATGTGACCCCACAGGGGTCATGACCCACAGGATGAGAACCACTACTCAAAATGGACCTGAAGGCCTCCTGGGGTTCATTAAAGGGTTTTGTTTAACTGCCAAAGAAAGGGGGGCGGGTAAAGAGCTTAAATCTTGAGATTTAACTGTATAAAGTAAGACAATTTTGTTCCTAAATGTACCAGGGGTACATCTCAGTTCCGGTGTTTCAGGGCTAATATTCATAAGACCTTTCATAAAATTATGGAAGTTTATAAACCATAAATCTTCACATTCTCAGTGTCCTTTTAGGTCACATCTGAAACCTTGTAGTCCATCCTCATACAAGCACCTCCACATTCGTGGGGTATTAGTACTTTCCATTCTCATCCCCGCTGTGCTCCAAGTTGAAAAGAGGACACCTATTATTACAGGTGGTGAGCCAAAGGCTTATCCCTTTAGCTGAGATCCATCAGATATATTCTTTCTCTCTGGCAACTTTAGTGAAATTGACATTTTTCCAGTAGCTTGCCTATGATTCATTTCATACTCTGGACAGGTCTACAGGAAATACTAAGTAGAATGTGGAGACTGAAATGGTTGAAATAGATGGTACAGCAACAGTTGCAGTTGTTTTGTTTTATGAAACAGAGAAACGCTTAGATTCTTGATTTCAGTTGTTCTTTTTATTAGGGACTTTCTTCACCTCTCTACAACTCGACTTGACTTCCCTCCGGTCATCAGAGAGGGGCTTGACTTGGATTATCTCACAAGTCACCTACTACCTTCTCGTCTGTTACTACGCCTTCAAACAGGTGAACTGTATGTCAGATGCGGGGACAGCCGCCAGATGAACCCTCTCTGGAGGGAGCCTTCGGGACATGGTGCTACAATTACAGTTGCTATTTCAGTCCTTTTTCAAGGCCTGGGTTCAGAGGTTGACTGATTTCTACCAAGTAGAAATAGCTTACTCAATTCTGGCATGTTCAAAGAATTAAGTCAGTTCTTAATACATAATATTTCATGTAGTTTCTGTTTTTTAAAAAAGAATTATTTTGTGCATGAATGTTTTGCCTGCATGTATATATGTGTACCACATGCCCACAGAATTCAGGTGTTGGCTCCCCTGGAACTGGAGTTACAAATGGTTGCCAATTACCATATGGGTAGGGGAATTGAACTTAGGTTCCTCTTCAAGAACAACCAGTGCTCTTAACCACTGAGCCATCTCTCCAGGCCCTTTATGCAGTTTCTTAACCCTTATGTAAAGTAATGTTAAGAAAGTATGCTGGGCAAAAAGTACTAAAAAAATTAGGAATTATTGTAAACAGTATCTATTGCCAAGCTTGATAAGGAAAATTTTAAAGCTTGTATATTAGTTAAGTACACACAATAGTTGAATAATCTCCAAGAATTATCATGTCTGTCTGATAAAAGTTTCATTAGCAACCAACTTTCCTGTTAGCAGTGTCTGAGTGACTGCAGAGCACTCCCACGGCCACAGCCCATGTGCTTTGCCTGCCAAAATCCCAAGTGGCCAGACTAATTTCTTAGGGGCAGTCCTGGCTAATCGTCCAGACAACGGTGGTGACTGTGCTGTCTTTACTCAGGGCTGTCGGCTGAAACGGCAGAGGTGGGGGTTCCTCACTAGGAAAAGAAACCTTCTGGACACAAGCATAATCCTCATTAGCTTTAGCATCTTGGGGCTCAACATGCAGCGTCTTTCTCTCCTTCATAAAAACATGCTGCAATACCGCCGTGACCGGGACAGGTAAGGGACCTGAGGCACACAGGCACACCTACTTCATGCCTAAGGCTTCCTGATCTGTCCTTCTTTCTCTTCCATTTCCCCACCAGATCTGCTGTATTTGTTTTTCTATTTGTCCACTAGCCCTGCTAAGAGGCTCTGTGGTGCTCAGGTGTCTGTAGAAGATGATGTGTTTAAGTTTCAGAGCAAGGGCTTGGAACTAGGGTTTCTTTGTATGCATAAAGCCCAAGATAAGACAAACAGCATCCTTAAAAACGGATACAAACCCATTACAAAACACAGCTTTTCAAGAAGTGGCTGTTTTCAGGCATTTTTTTTTTCTATTACCCATACAGGACTTTTGAGCACTTTTAGATCAAGTATTTCTAAAGCTAAGGGCTTGAGATCTAAAACCTTTCCAAAGCACCATCTTAAGTAACTTTATGTTGAACTGTCTACACTGGGCTAGTGAGTGTGTGTAGCCCAGAAGGTTGTGGCAGCTGAACTCCAGGCTGCTGTGTGGCACTGCCTAGGCCGTGGTTCTCAACCTTCCTGATGCTGTGACCCTTTAATACAGTTCCTCATGTTGTGGGGGCCCCCGACCAGAAAGTTATTTTCATCACTACGTAACTGTAATTTTGTCACTGTTGTGAATCATGATGTAAATATTTTTGGAGATAGACATTTGCCAAAGGTGTCATGGCCCACAGGTTGAGAACCACTGGTTTAGGCCTTAGGCAACAAAAGATCTGTGGTTGCCAACTTGCTTATAGTTACAGGAGCTCTCCAAGTAAACTGGTTGCTATGACATAAGATTATGTACTTCACACAACAAAACTGAACTGAAGGCTAATCTCTTCCTCTTCTTCTCGGTGCTATGACAGCTCACTAGTGTCTCTATGGTCAGAGACCACAGGAGTGTTAGACACAGGCCAAGATGATGGCAGGTCTCTAGGCTAACTCTCCTTTTGAGAGATTCAGCACCAATGACAGTGGAGGCAAGTCCTCATTTCTAGGATCAATATGAAGGAAAGAAGTCAGCCAGGAGCTGCCTTGAAAGGCTTTTCAGGAGAGCTCCCAGCCCAGGGGCCATGCTAGAAAGTTTCCCCGCAGTGGGCGTTTGACCTAATGGACCCCGGCTGCTAACCTTCTGCAGAGGAAGCCCTGGTGAGGTTGCTGACAGGTGATGGCAGCTCCTGCTTTGTGCTGAGGAATTGCTGGTTGGCTTTCCTTGGTGACAGGTTCATCAGCTTCTCCGAGGCACTGAAAGTGAACGCAGCTGTCACTCACCTCATGGGCTTCCTGGTTCTGTTGGCAACTGTGCAGCTGTGGGACCTGCTGCAACATAATGCCCAGTTGCAGGTCATCAGCAAGACACTGAACAAGGCCTGGGATGAGGTGGTGGGCTTCATCCTGATCATCATGATCCTGCTGAGCAGCTACGCAATGACTGTAAGCCCCAAAGCCCAGCGTCTTCCCCAAGGGCTGAGTCCTGTCTGTTCCCTCAGAAAAGGCCACCGCACATCAAACCATCAGATTAACAGTGGGTTTTTAAAGGTCAGGTAGGAAAGCTGGATTTAGTCATGTTCCATATTTAATGTGTTCTTTTAAGGAGTTTTTAAACTTTATTTCTATTTTGCTCATTTATTTATTTATAAATTATTTATTTCTATTGTATGTGCATTGGTGTTTTGCCTGCATGTATATATGTCTGTGTGAGGGTGTCAGATCCCCTGGAGATGGAGTTACAGTTGTGAACTGCCATGTGGGTGCTGAGGACTGAACCCAGATCCTCTGGAAGAGAACCAGTGCTCTTAACCACTGAGCCATCTTTCCAGCCCCCATATTTAATGTCTTAAACCCAGATGTTTGTGTTGTCTCTAAGATACAAAGTGAGATCAGATGTAGTATGGAGATCAGATAAATTTTGTAGCCACAGTGACTTGAATGGCCACAGGGAATTTCCATTGCTTCTATTGGCCATATCAAGCACCTCAGGGCAGAAATGTTATTACCATTGACTGGCCTTTCTCCTGTTCAGTTCAACCTGCTGTTTGGATGGAGCATCTCTGACTACCGGAGTTTCTTCAGCTCCACAGTGACTGTTGTTGGCCTCTTGATGGGAATTTCTAACCACAAGGAGGTAAGATAGATGATAGATGATGGATGGACAAATGGATGGACAGATAGATGATGGACAGACAAACGGATGGACAGGCAGACAGACACAGATAAACAGAGTAGAAGCAGCCTCATTTCCTTTCAGATTCCTGTTTGGCTTAGCAGCTTTAACTAGTGGGACGGTGTGGTTACTTATTAAGCAACCTTGCGCTGCACAGGATAAGGAGAACCTACACCCTTTGCCCTTGTCTCAAAGTAGTGCCCGGGCACGACACCGCACTACTCACCATCCATTGCTTCCTAAGCACTAGTGCCCCTCCTCACCTCCTCTTCCCCCATGCCCTCACTCTTCTGCCAGAACAGCCCAAGCTGCGGAGGCTCTCAAAGGCCCTCTGAAACTGTGTGACGAAGTAACCAAAGGTCGTGCCAGAAAGAACGCATTAGTCCTTTTCACAGTTAACACACGTGTTGTGATCAATTAGTCTAAGACGTGTTTACATTTATTTAAGCTGTGGAACATTTATTTACGGAGCAAAGGTGTGTTGTATTCTATGTTGCATTTGTTTAACACTGTAAAGCTGTGTTACTATGCCTGTCTAAAACACCTGATGGTCTGATAAAGAGCTGAATATCCAGTAGCTAGGCAGGAGAGGGATAGGCGGGGCTGGCAGGACGAGAGAATAAATAGGAGAAATCTAGGCTTGAAAAAAAGAGAGAGCAAAGAGCGAGAAAAGGAGAAAGAAAAGACACCAGGGGCCAACCACAGAGTAAGAAGAAAAGAAAGATATAGAATAAACAAAGTATAGAATAAAGAAAGGCAAAAAGCCCACAGGCAAAATGTAGAGGAGAAACAGGACAATTTAAGTTTAGTTAGAAAAGCTGGCTAGAAACAAGCCAAGGCCAGGCATTCATAAGTAAGAATAAATCTCCATGTATTTATTTGGGAGCTGGGTGGCAGGTACCCAAAGATTTAAAAAACAAACAAACAAAAAGAAAACTACACACACATCTTGGTGAGTTTACTCCTCCCTCACCCACATAAATCCTTGTCTTCCTATATTACATAGAGGACAAGGTACTTCACAAAAAATTTATGTTTGAGTTAGGTATGCTGGTTAGAACATTAAGATAATTATAAAAAAGGCACACCGTCCCATAAATGTAATTTTACACAAAATGAACAAAGTGAAGGGGAGACTTCAAATAGGCATCTTATGAGGATTTGAGTCCTAACATTGAAGGGCTTATGTGATCAGGAAATTAGTGGAACTAGTGACACTTATACAATTAATCACTCTGGTGACTCTTAGTCGGGGTTTCTACTGCTGTGATCAAACACCCTGAACAAAAGCAACTTGGGAGGAAAGGGTTTATTTGGATTACATACCCTCACAGTCTACGGATGGAGGCCAAGACCTGAACTCAAGGCTTGCAGGAACCTGGAGGAAAGAGCTGATGCACAGGCCATGGGTTCTCCTGACCAGCAAGCTCCTCATGGCTTTGCTCGGCCTGCTTTCTTATAGAACCCAGGGGCACCAGTCTAGAGTGGTACCACCCACAATGGGCTGGGCCCTGCCACATCAATCACTAATTAAGAAAACGCCAACCAGACCAATGACTCTGCAATGAACACTTGCAAGTAAAGATATATGGACAAAAGGATACACTGTGTGATTCACTGTGTCACATTGTAGCTTCTGTGACAAGGTTTTTCTTTTTCTTCTAAATTTTATTTTGTGGGGGAGATTGCAAGGGCAGATAGGAAGGGACAGGGAGATGAATGGTATGAGGATGCATGATGTGAAAAATACACAGAATAAAGTTAAAAAAAAGAAAGAAAGGAAGGAAGGAAGGAAAGAGAGAGAGAGAAAGGAAAGAAAGAAAGAAAGAGAGAGAAAGAGAGAAAGAGAGAAAGAAAGAAAGAAAGAAAGAAAGAAAGAAAGAAAGAAAGAAAGAAAGAAAGAAAGAAAGAAAGAAAGAAAGAAAGAAAGAAAGAAAGAAAGAAAAAGAAAGAAAGTGCTCTACAGGCTTGCCTACAGCCTAATCTTATAGATGTGTTTCCCTCCTCTCAGAAGACTACAGTGTGTGTCAAGTTGACATAAAACTAGCCAGCACACCAGTGATTCAAAGATTACTGATTAAGTAAGTTAAATCAGCAGCTTTCTTCCCAAGAAAGGATGCAACTGCTATTTGTATACTGTTATGGTTGCAGCTGTATTCACCAGGGAATCAGTCATTGGTTAACAGGCCTTAGTAGCAACAATGAAAAGGCCAACAACAAAGGAGAAAAAAAAAAAAAACAAAACACCATTTGTTAAAAAGAGCACCTTAAGCCGGGCGGTGGTGGCACACACCTTTAATTCCAGCACTCGGGAGGCAGAGCCAGGAGGATCTCTGTGAGTTTGAGGCCAGCCTGGTCTACAGAGTGAGATCCAGGACAGGTACCAAAACTACACAGAGAAACCCTGTCTTGAAAAACAAACAAAAAACCAAAAGTATTTTCCTTTGAACCTTTTTCTCTCCCTGGTTTCATCAGATTCAACTGTGTACTTAGAAATAAATCCCAGATGTTAGCACAGGTTGTAAACTCTAAGAGGCCTTACTGTCTTCCCAGGTTATCGCTCTCTACCCGGTCCTCGGCTCGTTTCTGGTCCTCACTAGTATCATCTTGATGGGACTTGTGATCATTAATCTTTTTGTTTCTGCCATTCTCATTGTCTTTGGAAAAGAAAGGAAGGCCCTTGAGGTGAGTAACTGGCCCAGTAACTGAACAAGTGACAGTCAAGATTCCCTGTAACTGGAAAGTGGTTCTCAATCTTCCTAATTCTGTGACCCTTTAGTACAGTTCCTCATGTTGTGGTGACCCCCACCATAAAATAAGTTTCGTTGCTACTTCATAACTGTTATTTGTTACTTTGTGAATTGTGATATAAATATCTGTGTTTTCTAATAGTCTTAGGCAACCCCTATGGAAGGTTGATTTGACCCCAAAGGGGTCACAACCCACAGGTTGAGAACCACCGCTTTAATACAGGTATGGTGGCACACACTTGTAATGCCAACATTTGGAAGTGGAGATAGAACTGAGTTCAAGGCCAATCTGGGTTACAAAAGTTAAGATGCCATGCCATAATGCACATTTCCTTTAGTGGCCTCAGTTACTTTCCTAGGAAATCAAATTGCCAAGACATAAACAACTGGTCTCCAACCATTCAGTAGACATTCCCTACATCTGACAGTAAGCCATTATTAGTGTCTTTACTATATTTATGAGCTTTTTAGAGGAGTATCTTTGGTATTTTCACCTACAATCTCGGGTCACTTACTTTTCTCTCTGTCTTCAAATACTCAGAAAGAAGCTACACTGACAGATATGTTACTACAAAAGCTCTCAAGTTTGTTAGGAATCCGCCAGCACCAGAATCCTGCATCTGAGAAGCCTGCTGACAACACTGGGTATTGACATCTGTGTCTTAAGATGAACTATCTTAATCTCATTATTGCCTAGCCTAGCTTACATTTTACTGTATTATTGATAACACTTTACATTTCATGACAGAAGTGTAACACTTTGTGTTAGTGGAGAATCAAAATCCCATTGTCTCCATAACCTTGCTGATGGACTTCAGCAGTTTAATAAGGAGAATGATATGCTAAGTACATAGCACAATCCAGCTATACTGCCAACTAGCAGGTAATAGAATGCTCACCACTCATGCCAAGAGTGAGCTCAACTGCAGCTTACTAAAAATAGAGTAGCAGGCAAGCAAACTCATAGATGCTATCTGAGCTCAAGTCCAGGGATGGAAATGAGCCCCAACAGCTCCTGACACCTGCAGTCCTAAGGGAGTGGAAAGTGAAGACTGGATCTGGCTTATACACTAATATGAGTCACCTGGGTAAAATATTCTCCACTAAAATCCATTCATTTGACCAACACTAGAGGAAGCAGGACATGAGATCTTTATTAGCAGCTACTGAGCTATGAGACAAAACAATCAAAAACAATGAAGTTGCTTAAAACAGGTATGTACAGAAATATACATAAGCAAAACATCTCATCTTCCAGTCCCAAAGCTAACCTCTTGGGGAAGGGTGGCTTTGGCTAGGGGCAAAGAAGCACATGTTACCATAATAAAGAGTCATATCCACCCAGGAAAGCAGTAAGCTACAGCCACATGGCACTAAAACTTAAGATAGCAGTTTGTAAAGATTCCCTTAATCATAAAAGTTTTCAAATGAAAACGTATCCCTCCTTTCCTGTAGGTTTCCAGCTCTCTACCCAAGAGACTTGAGTACTTCTATTAAGGCAACTGGAAGCCCACCAAGGATTGGATAGAGACCTATGCTTTCCACCTAACATGCTATGAGAAAAACAAATTCCTATAGTGCTGCTCTTTCCTAAAAGGGAAACACAGCACTCAAAAATAAAGCAAAAGGCCACAGAGGGCTCCCTGAGAATCCAGTAGAACTAAGAGAGAACTTTTCCAAACAAACTTTGCAACTGGATCCAGGTGGAACAGTGCCCTGCAGCAAGGAGTAGTGTATAGGTCAATGAGAGGCCCTGCCTCCAGGAACCGTGACAGTGGCTTCCTGAGCCATCTAACTCATTTGAGAAAACACATGGCGGCCATGATTCTCTCTACAATCACCCCCATGCAGAGGGATGCATTTACAAGTCAGGGTTGAAACATGTCATAGGGTCCTCTCTTCCATGGTCCAGCCATCTTCGGCAACTCTATCCACCATACTTCTCACTCCTTTGGAAATGGAATGGCCAGGAGAGAACCAAGGATCCATGTGACAGAAAGATAGACAGGCAAACACAGCCACCAGAAGCCAACTGCTCCAGGCACAGTCTCTAGCTGTTAGTCTCTTAGTGTCACTAGAGAACTGGAAAGCAACACGATTGGTAGAGCAGCAGAGAGCCCCAAGGAAGAGTGCTCAGTGATGGTTAACAGATGAAACGGAATTTCATGGAGATTCATTGTTACAAGGAAGAACTGTTCAGTCTCAACTTCTTGGTTTAAGAGACCTATGTTTTCTTTTTCAGTTCCTCAAATCTCCGAGAAAGATCATCGAAGTCTATGTCTTCTGATGCTGAGGTACTGGCTCCAGCAGAAGCAGTTGGGAGTGTGTCTGGCACAGATGGCAACTCTGGCAGTACAAAGTTGTTGTAATTATCCATAGGTCTGGAAGGGGGCTTTGCAGGAGCTTCTGGCTTGGGTCCTAATTAAATCAGGGCAAAGAGCACAATGTTACAAATAGCAGAGAAATGACTCAGCCATCCTTTGACAAAACTACCACCCAAACCCCCACAATCCCTTTGGCAGAGGACAGAAAAAGATCAAACTGGAGAGGCTGGGGATGCAGCTCAGTTAGCAGAGTATTTGCCTAGCATACACAAAGCTCTTGGTTTTACCCCAGCACTGCACACACTGGGTATGGTGGTTTATGCCCATCATGGCCAACACTGGGGAGGTAGAAGCAAGAGGATAAGGCAGGCTAAGGTCATGTTAACACTGGTACTATTTGATGTAATAGTCTAGTCTGGATTAAGTCTTCCAGTTTGCTTTTTTTCTTCTCCTTCTCTTTCAACACTGGAGATCAAACCCAGGGACTTGAACATGCTAAGCAAATGCCCCACCACTGAACTTACGGCCCCAGCTTCCCAGTGCTGGTATTATAGACGAACCACCACACCCAACTTCTCCCATTTTAAATGTGCTTTCTGCGGTGCTAGCAGCACTTCATTTTTTAACTTACTGAACATAAACATGCTTACTTTATGAAAACTCACCCTTATTGTTTGTGCTGTTTTGCCCTGTGTGCTGGCTAGTTTTTATCAACTAGACACAAGCTAGAATCATTTGGGAAGAGGGAACCTCAATTGAGAAAATGCCCCCACCAGACTAATGCCTCCCCTAGGTGGGTGGTCCTGAGTGGTATAAGAAAACAGGATGAGCAAGCCATGAGGTTGAGCAGGTAAAGAGCATTCCTCCACGGCTTCCGCTTCAGTTCCTGCCTCCAGACTCCTGCCCTAAATTTGACAATTTAGACTGTGATATGGAAGTGTAAGCAAAATAAACCCTTCCTCCTAGAGTTGCTTTTGATCATGGTGTTTTATTACAGCAACAGAAACCTAACTAAGACACCAATATGTCGCTTCAAAAAACACCTGGGGTGGAGGGCTAGAATGATGGCCCAGTGATTAAAAGCTCTTCCAGAGGACCCAGAACCCACATGGCCACTCACAAGTCTTAAATCCAGTTCCAAAGGATCCAATACTCTCTTCTGGTCTCCAGGGGCGCTGCATGCACGTGGTGCATAGACATACATACACCATATACACAAAATAATAAAGTGTTTTGTTTTGTTTTTTTAAATTAGGGAGGGCTAGAGAGATGGCTCAGCCATTAAAAGCACATGTTACTCTTCCAGAAGTTCCAAGTTCAGCTTCTACCTTATATCAAAACCACTTTTCAAGCCAGACTTGGGGCAAGGGGGCATGCCTTTAATCCCAGCACTTGGGAGGCAGAGGCAGGTAGATCTCTGAGTTTGAGGCCAGCCTTGTGGTCTATAAAGTGAGTTCCAGTACAGCCAGGGCTATACTGAGGAACTCTGTCTTGAAAAAAAAAAAAAAAAAAGAAAAGAAAGGAAAAACAACCACCTAACACTGCAGCCCCAGGAAAGTCCTCCAGCCTCCACAGAGACCTGCACTCACGTGTATAAACCCACATACATATATATAATGAAAAATAATAAAAATGTACTTAAAAAAACTTAGGTGACTAAAAATAAAACACAGAATTGGAAGATTGGGACTAGGAAAAATATTTTATGTTTTAAAGCAAGAAGTCCTGAGTTCTGTGTTAGACACATTCTATTTGAAAAGAGGACATGGTCCTTGGGTGAATGCCATGGCCATGGAGAGAGGAATAGTGAGAGAAGAGGATTCAGCAGCATGAAGCTTTCTGAAACACTCACCAACAATCTGTGCAGAAGAAACATTTTTATCACCATTAATGTCATCAACCTGTAAAACACAGATTGTTACCAAAGAAAAAGACAATGAAAGGCATCTCTAGACAAAGTACTAATACTGGTATCAGCTCCTGTGTTTTCCAAAAGCTAAGCTGTTCACCAAAAGCAACAGAATTTGCTCCTAGGAAAATGCCTCCTAGTCTCTCCATGCTTCTCTAAACCACATGGACACCATGCCAACCTCTGAACTGCTAAGCAAAAAGAAAGAGAAGTCTTACCACACTGTGACACTTTTCAGCTTCCAGGCAAAGCAAACTAGTAAATCTACAAGTACCAAGGCCTCAAGGACTGATGAAGATCCACCTCATTCCACACACAGTTGACCATGTTTTAATACATGGAATACTAAACCGTGAGAAAGACTCAGTTCCAGGAGAAAACACATCAACTAGAGATGAAAACCAATGGGAAGAATGATAAGCAAACTAAGGATCAGGGAGAGCTTCCTAGGTGAGCAATTTACATAGCAAATTCCATACCAACTTGTTTTCTAAGTAAACCATAGGCTGGAAACAGCTCTCAAAGACATGTATACGAGTCATGTATGTGTGTGTGTGTGTGTGTATATATATATATATATATATATATATATATATATGCATGCAAGACTGGCAGAAAACAAGTAATTGTGAAGCAGAGCTGCTCTTACAAACAGTTCAAGACATCTTTACTACATGAGCTATTTACGCAATTACCCCAAACCCCTAAGCAGTAGGGACTGCACCTAGGGCCTGCTACATGATAGACACACACCTGACCACTCAACTACTTCCCAATGGTTTTGACTCTTTATTTTGAATCAAGGTCTTATATTTGTGATCTATCTACTTCAGCTCCCAAGCTGCAAAGATTACTGACCTGTGCCACAGGTTTGCTCTATATAAGTTTTAACTGTAAGAATAAAATGTGAAACCAACACTACAGGCCAAAAACGACTAACTAAACACTTTTGTTTAAGTCAAATACCATTACTATTCTTCCCCATGAATATTGAAAACTTAAAATAAAAAAACTGATGCTTTAATATATCTTAATATCAAGTTATACAGTAGCTCAATGTGATTCTCAGACTAGTTAGTAAAACAAATATATCTAGATTAAGTGCTCTAGTAGGCACTACAACTTTTTTCTTAAAACTTTTTTTAGATAAGCTCATGTAGTCCAGGCTGACCTTGAACTCCTGATCCCCCAAAGTGCTGAGACTATAGGCATGTGCCACCATGCCCATATGAGACTGTAACTTCCTAAAAGCAGCTCCTTCCTGATTCCTGGCCTCAGTGCTGACATAGCATGCCCACCACAAATGCCACCAACAGCGCTCCCCATCTCCAGGGCAGTATGAAAGCAACGAAGAATCCCAAAGCAAGAGCAATACCCATACTAAGTTGATCAAAAGTTTGCCTTCCCTGTTATTATTTTGCTCTCTTCATGGGATTCACTCTCCTGCCGTTTATCAAAGAGCTCAGGCACTTACAGATTCATACGATGGGGGAGTTGCTGGTATCTGAGGTGGGTGAATGTTAGGAAAGGCCTGGTAAGTCCCCACTGGCAATCCACTGAAATCCGACTGCAAGAGAAAAGCAGTATCAGAAACACTGCTCCCAATCTGTAACTTCTGTATGGGATGGGAAGAAATATGTGTGAACACACACACATTATGTATGTATGTATATATTTAAGCTCCTCAAAGCAAAGAAAGGCTTAAAAGGACCACATGTGGTCAGAAAGACTAAAAGTTTAAAGACCTACAAGGGTTATTCCTCAAATTACCACCTCAAGTGCTTCAGTG